GGTGATGCTTTGCCATCTCTCTTCCCTGCTTCGATCAACGTCTCCAGGCAGCTTTTGGTGAAGGAGTTTGAGCAGAAGCTACGGCAGGGCTATAGCTTCGGCCCGGGTGAGGCAGGGAAGGGTTTGGGGAAACCAGTATGCGGGTATGGGTCAAAGTGGACCCTAAGCGGCGCAACGGTCTCCTTGTTGGTTTCCCTTCAAAGCCACCTGAAAAAGGGAACCCTGAACAAAACACACGCCCAAGTAGTTTTCTCCTGGGCAGGTTTTAGTGGTTGTCTCAATTTACCCGGGTTCCATGTTGGGTACTTTTTTGACCCACTGCATGTCAAAGGGGACCCTTGAAGACACCCGGAAAAGGGAACAAAACACAAGCCCGAGTAGTTTGGCAGTTTGGGCTAGGTGCGCTGGGACTATCGCAACACCGTGAAGTATCCGCTGGTCTGCGGCCTCGCGGGGCTGTGGCTCGATTGGAAGCATCGCCAGGGAAGGATGGGCCCAGAAAATTTCCCCAAATCTTCTCAAAATGGGCAGCTCTTTCTTTCGGGGACCACCAAAAATGGGCGGTTGTCTTTTAGATTTCCCTGTAAACCTACCAAAACGGGGACCCTCGAAAAGAAGACACACGCAAATAGGGACCCCTTTGCAAAAGCAAGCCAACCGTTGATGGGGTTTCTAAAATTGAGAAGCACTTCCGCAGTTTGCTTCTGGCTTCCCGTTTTGAAGCCCAGAAGAAATTGGGGAAAAAGGCATTCGAGGCAAAGATAGAAGGCATGTCCCGATTGGATGAACCCTCCAGATCTATCGGTGGTTTCCCCTTACAGTCGGGGATGCGGTCATGTGAATGTGGTGCGAATGAATCCAACATTTGGCATCTGGCATGCGAAAGGGTATGTATCAGACATCCAACTTGCGCGCGGGTGCACGCGCCAAAGACGAAAGTTAGCACCAGGATTTGACAGTTCGCAGCAGAGTATCTGGGGAACGAGGCCACTGCTTCGACGCAGGTGCCTCCAGTCCCGATGTCGGCTCGAGCGGCAGTAGGTAACTCATGTTTTATCTAGTCATTTTTGTTTGCAATTGAGGGGATGTTTGCGTCCGTAGTAAACTCTTATGTTGTACAACGCAAGTCGTACAAGAGTGAGGGTCACACCAGTGGTATCATGGATCCACCAGGCTTGCTGGGCTGTTCGGCGTGGGCGGCGGCATCGTGAAGGGCCCTCTTATGCTGGAGATGGGCATCTTGCCGCACCCTGGAAAGAAGCGGTTGCATACACCACCCTTAAGTACTTCTTCGAGGGAGGCATGTGAACTCACGTGTTTCTTCTTTTTGCAAGTGCCAAACAGAGTTGGCCATCCCATTGAGATGGGTCCCAGTGGCAGGCGCTTCCCAGCCACAAGGAGTGAGCCTTTATGTTGTCAAGGGGATTTTTCAATTTGATTTTACACTCTTGAGGTGCTAGGGGTTTGCGGGTGCGGCCAGTTTCACAAGCGCGCGCTTTTTTTGTTGGGGAAGGTGGGGTTTCCCGTTCTGCTCTCCCCCGGTCTTCACGAACTGCAGTACGATGAGTCTTACCCGGAGCTACGCCCAAGAGAAATTGGATGCTTTTCGACACATGGGCGTTCTTTGGCATGTACCCCTTGGTGAGTTGAAAGGAAAGCCAGGACAGCAGCAATTTCAAGGAACAAACATGCGGTCAATGCCGAAGAGTTGAGCACCTTGTTTACCGAAGTGGCCAACTTTACTCGAGGTCCGTTGCCTCGGCCTCCGCTGCGGCGATGATCCTGTACACATCAGCAGCGGCCAGTGCCTCGCGCCTCGGCGGAGCACATGCCCCTTGCAGCGCGGAGGATAATTACCTCCGGCGCGTCAACAAAAACATTTGCAACCTTTCTCCGCCGACTTCAAGAATGGCTCTCCCACAAACAGAAGGCATGTCATGTTGGGTGTGAGTTGACGGGCACTCAACCTGCCAAAGCGGGTTCTTGAGGTGGCATTTTCTGTTGGGGGCTCTCCCTCGGCGGGGTTTGTTTCGCAAGAGAGGATGTTGATTCAAACCGCCTGCGTGCGGAAGGTCGCGCGGGCGTGGCAGGGGTCCTTGAAAGGACCGTGGTATGCAGACTTCAAGGCGGTCAGCCCCGGAACCCCTGGAATCTGCGGACCCAACCCTGAAAGCTGCCCCAAACCACTTCAGGGCCTGTCTGGGTAGAGACCCCAAAGAACCCGGCTGCTGGGAAAGAACAGATTCCAGAACCTCACTGTTGTTGGCAAGTTTTTCCATTTTGTGTTATTTTTTTTGGGCTCTGTTCATTTTTACTAGGGGCTGCACAACTCAGTCAGAATCTGCCAAAAACCCAGAGCGCATCTTGGTGTCTTCCCAACAGATCGGGGGTTCAACTCCCCAAACCGCCACAAGCTTTATTATTATTATTGTTGTTATTGTTATTATTATTACTATTGTTATTATTGTCATTATTATTATTATTATTGTTATTATTATTAGTATTATTATTATTATCATTATTATTATTATTTATTAATTATTATTATTTATTATTTAGTTATTAGTATTATTATTATTATTATTATTTTTATTAGTATTATTATTATTATTATTGTTATTATTACTATTATTATTCTTCTTCTTCTTCTTCTTATTATTATTATTATTATTATTTATTATTATTTATTATTTAGTTACTATTATTATTATTATTATTATTATCATTATTATATACATGTATATATATATATATATATATATATATAATAGGGTGTTTTTTTCGCCCCGCGAGGGCCATGCCTTTGGGGTGGTTTCAGAGAGAATCCCTTCATCCTTCGTCCCCCTTCGCCTTCAAGGTTCCTGGTCTTTGGCCTGCTGCACCCGCTCTATGGGGTGCTCTTCTTCCTCCTGGGCCTGGTGTGTACAGCTCTGGGCCAGTACTTGGTTGGCCGGCGCCGGGCTTAGCCCTGGCCAAGTTTTTTGTTTTTGCTTTTGGTTGGAAGGCAGAGCCGCCGATTTTTTTTGGTAGGGGTTTAGCACAAAAAAGGCTGGCTTGCCGGAGAGTGGTTGATGGTTGATTGGAAGGCAGAGGCTTTTGTTTGTTTTTGGCAGGATTTGGCAAAAAGCAAGCTTGCCTGTCAAGCTTGCTTTTGCCAAATCCTGCCGGAGAAGGGGAAAAGGGCCCCCTTTGGATTTGCAGATGTTGTTTTGAAAGGAAGGCAGGGAGAACAGGGACATATTTGGCAGAGGTGGGTGCACAAGCACAACCGCCAGAGCCCCATCGTGCTCTCCATTGGGACCGTGATCCTGCTGTCTTCCGCTTTCGTGCTTGCTGCACGGCTGCACTTGTCTGTTTGAGAGACTTGCTGAGAGTGCGCCATGATGTATATGTTCACTTTGTGTGGAAGTGCTGCAATCTCCTGCATTCTCCAGCAGATCCGACATGCCATGCTCTTGCACAAGCGCTTGCTTCATTCTGAGCCGTAACCTGCGCCACCTTGGGCCTGCTTGCGCTCAGAGCAGCCTCTAAACAGGCATGTGTCAAGTCAGCTCTAAAGTGGCTGTTTGTCCTTTGGTTTCCACGCTAAATGGGGTACAGCCTCTCCCATCAAAAAGGGACCTGACAGGGTGTCCCTCCAAGAGGAAACCATCTTCACCCCAAATTATTTTGAACAATTTTACCAAAATCGGAACGCTCAAAGCCGGTTCACCAGGCAGTATTAGGTCCAAAACGTGGTATTTTACCAATCATTTCCAAATTAAGACTCCCACAGGTGCTATGTTTGGAGGGTGCCAAACCAAAGCGCTCAGACTGAGGTGAACACCGTGGTAAGCTCCGTAGGCCGCAGCCGGGCCGAGCTGCTTGCCTTCCACGGGGTGTGTGACAGCGCTGCTTGAAAAGCGGCCCGAGATGCTCACAAATGGGTGTGGCTCAAAATTATCCAGGAGGGGTTACGCGGGTTTTGGTCCACGTTTCCACTTACCAGGGTTCCATTTTGGTACCGGTTTTTTGAGCCACACCCAAATCGGTCACAGTCGAAACCCGGGTAGGTGAAGTTTAGTGAGGGCTTCGGTCTTAGACTCTGGTTGCCTTCTTATCAGGGCTCCTTAAAAGATCTCCATTTTGCGCTAGCAACCATTTGAAACATGGTTCTTGTTCCAGGACACCTCCATTTACAAGGCAATGTTCAGGTGTATAATGTAAGGATCCCTGCTTATGTGCCCTGTCTAACCAATTTGCGCCAGAGTTGCAATTTGATCAAGTGGGGAGTAGCTCAGATGCCCCAGTGCGTTTTGGGGTTTGCCGCGGCAGCGCCAAAAACGTGGAGAATCATTTCGATCCGCGTGCGGGGAGATCTGAAGATACGGCATGCCTGATATCTTCTTTTGAACCCTCTCAATGATTCAATTCGTGGGTTTTCCAACGCTTGTGCTTTGGTGGGTTTTTTTTGGGCTTCAGAAGGAAAGTTTTCGCCTTAAACCCGATTCCCTAAGGTACCTAGTGGTCAGTTTCCCAAGGGAAGTGGATTGAAACATTGGTTTTACTTTCCCTAATGCTCATGGACAAAATCCTGCAGCAGTTGGTAGGTGGTTTGTTTCATCCATCCCAACTGTTGCAGTCGGATTTTGTCCAACAGTACACCCCATACTCACTCGAATCGACCTTTTCACCTTTTAGTTTCACCAGTTTTTCTGGGTCTTTTGGGGAATTGAGCATATTTGGGTGGTGTCTTTGAAAGGTTGAACCCCCCAAAATGGCCAAAAGGTGTTCCTTTTGGGCTCCCTGAAAAAACCCACCAAAACGAGAATGCCAACTCGCAAAGAAAACAGCCCCAAAGAAACAAACAACCACAATCTTGGATGGGTTTCAGACAGACCCAAATGAAACCAGCAACCTCTTTGGATGGGTTTCAAAGGAAGACCGAGGACACCCTCTGACTCTCACCAACTTGACTCGAGACTCGAGACTTGGCCTGTTGAGTCGACTCGAGACTCAAGGCGCTGCTGGACAGTCGTCTGGCGGAGCTGCGGAAAGCGCTCCACGCCCCGCTGCGGCCGCAGTCGCTGCATCTCTTCGTGCGCCGCAGCCAGGTGCTGCAGGAGAGGTTTCCTGCGCGATCCGCGGGAGACTCGCTCGCGCGTGACGCACGTGAAAGGGGTGGGGGGTGTGGGTTGTAGAAGGCGTGGGGTGTCCGTTTAAGGGAACACCCTGTTTTTGGTTTTCAAGGGTTTCACCAGAAGGAACACAAATCGTCGTTTGTTTTTTTGGAGTTCCCCAAAAGGAAAGCAAACTGAGTTGGCTGTGGGCTGCTTGCCCAGGTCACGATTTTTGCTGAGTATCACATCGCCTGGGCAGTTTGGCCACTTAGTAGGTCCCTAGATTCTTGTATGACATTGTATGACCCTTTGATGGAGTTTAAACCACCGGATACGATTGAAAAGGTGTTGTTCCTTCTGGGGTAGAGGTGACATATAAAGGAACCCAGGGAGACGCTTTGCCGGTCGACCATGCGGCCGCCAAACGGTTTGAGGTTTGATTGTCGTATGTGGGGAGAAGCAACAGTTTGGGACGGTGGATGCCCTGTTCGCCATCTTGCGCACGTAAACCAATACTTTTGGGCGGCACCGGCAGCTTGTGGTGCATGTTTCGCCTTTCTTTTTGGAGCACTTTTGGGCAAATGTCCGCAAAGGATCCGTAGACAGTCAGGCAACCCTTTGAATGGATTTGAACCCTGGTTTTAGAGGCACCCCAAACCTTCAAACCGCCAATCCAAACCATCCTTGTTGAGGGCGCTGAGAAAGAATTGGGGACAGGCAACAACTACGGGCTGAAGTGTTACCCACACCACTCTTGCATGGTCATCAGGTAACTTGCTGGTGCAATCGGTAGGGAATGATCGATCGTTCCGGATCTGGGGAATGAATCTTTGGGGACTCCCTGAAAGGAAGATGTACAGCCGCTGGGAGTCTTTGGATCCGGTGCCCGTGGTTTCCCATGTCCAGGCGTCTAGGCATGGCCAACCATAGGGAATGGTGTTATAGGGTCATTCCATGTCTCATTGCTTGCCTAGGTCCCCCAGTAGTGCCCTTTTATCATTTTTTTTTTTGGGAGGGTTCCCCTACTAAAATAGACTACAGAAAAAGACAGACAAAAATGAAAAAAAATGGGTACCCTTATTCTAACCCGTCTACTGGAGGTGTAAATACCAATAAACAATGGTTTCCCATGGTTTCAATCTGGTGCAGGATTTCGTCCATCCACGGTAGGGAATGGTTGATAGGGGTCATTCCAATTCTCATTCCCTGTGCTGCAAACGCCTTCGAGGACTCCTTGAGCATTTTCTGGCAGTGCCCGGCTACCGAGCTGCTGGCCCCCAACATGCCCGGGAGCCCCAGCTTCCGAGCGCGCGCTGGGCGAACGACTGGCCGTTTTTTACGGCATGGGCCGCGGGGCAAACTGCAGCCTCTGCCCCCAGAAAAACCTTCGCCTCCATTTGCTTAAGAATATTTTTTGTTTTCCCTTGTTGGTTTAAAGAGGAGTTCATCACTACTGGAAATATGTTAGTTTTCCTGGGGCCTTATTGATAGAAGATCAGGAGTCCGCCAGGCTTGGTATTCCAACAATGGCAGTCAGAAGATTGAGGCTCCAGCTGGCTCTATTAAAAAATGACAGTCAGTTCCAATTGCTAGTATTATTGCCACATATAAATATTATCAAGTATTATCATTATTAGTAGTAGTTGTAGTAGTTGTAGTAGTAGTAGTAGTATTTGTAGTAGTAGTAGGAGTAGTAGAGTAGTAGTAGTAGTAGTAGTAGTAGTAGTAGTAGTAGTAGTAGTAGTAGTAGTAGTAGTAGTAGTAGTAGTAGTAGTAGTAGTAGTAGTAGTAGTAGTAGTAGTAGTAGTAGTAGTAGTAGTAGTAGTAGTAGTAGTAGTAGTAGTAGTAGTAGTAGTAGTAGTAGTAGTAGTAGTAGTAGTAGTAGTAGTAGTAGTAGTAGTAGTAGTAGTAGTAGTAGTAGTAGTAGTAGTAGTAGTAGTAGTAGTAGTAGTAGTAGTAGTAGTAGTAGTAGTAGTAGTAGTAGTAGTAGTAGTAGTAGTAGTAGTAGTAGTAGTAGTAGTAGTAGTAGTAGTAGTAGTAGTAGTAGTAGTAGTAGTAGTAGAAGTAGTAGTAGTAGTAGTAGTAGTAGTAGTAGTAGTAGTAGTAGTAGTAGTAGTAGTAGTAGTAGTAGTAGTAGTAGTAGTAGTAGTAGTAGTAGTAGTAGTAGTAGTAGTAGTAGTAGTAGTAGTAGTAGTAGTAGTAGTAGTAGTAGTAGTAGTAGTAGTAGTAGTAGTAGTAGTAGTAGTAGTAGTAGTAGTAGTAGTAGTAGTAGTAGTAGTAGTAGTAGTAGTAGTAGTAGTAGTAGTAGTAGTAGTAGTAGTAGTAGTAGTAGTAGTAGTAGTAGTAGTAGTAGTAGTAGTAGTAGTAGTAGTAGTAGTAGTAGTAGTAGTAGTAGTAGTAGTAGTAGTAGTAGTAGTAGTAGTTAGTAGTAGTAGTAGTAGTAGTAGTAGTAGTAGTAGTAGTAGTAGTAGTAGTAGTAGTAGTAGTAGTAGTAGTAGTAGTAGGAGGAGTAGTAGTAGTAGTAGTAGTAGTAGTAGTCGTAGTAGTAGTAGTAGTAGTAGTAGTAGTAGTATTAGTAGTATTTGTAGTAGTAGGAGTAGTAGGAGGAGTAGTAGTAGTAGTAGCAGCAGCAGTAGTAGTAGCAGCACTTGTGGTTTGCCCGGAGAGTCTCTTCCGCGGGGGCCTCACGCGATCAGATTCCCCCGCGCCTGCCAGCGTTTTAGGACCCGCGCCTGATATCGAACGGTCTGCCCTTAGAACATCGGCAAGCCTTCGCCGATGCGCGCAACTGCGCAGGGTGCGGCTTTTCGATGGGTCACTATGTGAATTTTTGTTGGACTACCCTACGCTCAGCCAGGGCTTGAGTGCAAGTAAAGCTACAACTAAACCCTAAAAGGGGGGTTCTTCTGTCTCCTTTCTCCTCTCTCCCATCTCCTTTCTTGTCTCTCCTCTCGTTTCTCCTCTCTCTCCTCTTTCTCCTCTCCTCTCTTCTATCCTTTCCTGTCGAAATCGTTCTGCGCCACAGTCCCGTGCAAGTTTCGAGTATGCGACGCAAGCGTGTTGTCAAAGTCAGATTTCGTGGCAAGTGCAATACTTTGAGCAGTTCTCATGTCGTTGCAAGCTCAATTTGCGTGGCAGGCGCAGCATTTTGAAGCAATTTTCGCTCGCGCAAGCGTTTGCTTGAGTGCAAGCTCGCGTTGCAAATGCAATGGGATTGGCATTCCAAGGGCCGCAAATTTGATGTGGTCAAAACGAGCTGATTGCAAGACAGGGCCAACGAAAACGACGCTTGAGGAAGCCCTTGCGCGAGCATTCCCAGCAAAACATTTCAACACGACACCACTGGAAATGCAAATCCCATTGCATTTGCAACGCAAACAAAGACCCTCACGCAACATTGCGCCGGCGCAGCCATTCCCGCACAGGCGCGCGAAAAATGACACGCCGCAAGTCATCAATCTCGCACGTGCTGGCTTTCCCCAATGGAACTGCGAGCGCGACATTCGCGAACGCAAAGGAACGCTTGCGAACGCTTGCGGTCGCAAAATCAAAGTCTTTTGGTCACGCCCTGACCCCCAGACCCCCAGCCTTCAAACGGGAGCACTTCTGCTACGCGTGCGGGAAAAACGAGGGGCTAGCAATTCGTCGAAGATTCCAATACTTGTTCCCGCTTTTCATCAGTTCGCTCCAGAAGTGGCTTAGTCGCTTGACATGCACCTGGGGTTCCCTGATTCTATTAAGGTCAAAAGTGATACCAGGACCAGTGTCACTTTCTGTTTCTAGGCGCCCCAGACTGTGAGGTGCCTTTGAACGAAGTGTTCCTCTCGTACTGACTTCGATTGCTGTCGCAGCATCGAGTTCATCAGTAGGGTAAAACTAACATGTCTCACGACGGTCTAAGCCCAGCTCACGTTCCCTATTGGCGGGTGAACAATCCGACACTAGGAAGAGCCGACATCGAAGGATCAAAGCAACGTCGCTATGAACGCTTGGCTGCTACAAGCCAGTTATCCCTGTGGTAACTTTTTTGACACCTCTAGCTGAATATTTCTCAGACCTAAAGGATCGATAGGCCATGTTCTCACAGTTTGTACTGAGCTCTGGCTCATCCTGTCAAATTACGGAAGTTTTCTGACTACAGTAGACTTCCTTTGATTAAGGCTTGGTTAAGTGCTATTTTTGGGCTCCTCCCGTGCCACGCTGTGCATGACGTGTTTAATGGAGTGTTTGCGTTTGCGTGTGTGCCTGTGTGTGTATGTGTGTGCGCGCTTGTGTGTGTTTCTGTGTCTGCATGTTTTTGTGTGTGTGTGTACTTGTTTGTGTTGGTGTTCGATTGCGCATATTTTTTTGTGTGTGGTTGTGTGTGTGTGTTTGTGGGTGGGCGTGTGTGTGACGCATTCACAGTGTGCGCCAAAGGCGTTCTTGGTGCGTTTAGAGAAGCTGTGACGACAGGTATTGCACATACAAGATCGAATAGGTCGGGATGTCAAAAAGCAAGTTAAACCCAAAACTAAACCCTAAACGGGGGGAACTGCGACCAAGTTAAACCCTAAACGTGAACCCTATATGGGGCAAGCTAAGCCAGTAGTAGTAGCAGTAGTAGTAGTAGTAGTAGTAGTAGTAGTAGTAGTAGTAGTAGTAGTAGTAGTAGTAGTAGTAGATCACAATAAGTAGAAATAGTAATAAATAGTATTTTCTCATTATTATTACTATCACCCTTAGTATTATCATTATCATTATCATTATCATTTTATTATTATCATTATTCTTATTGTTGTTGCTACTGGTATTGTTATTGTTATTATCATAATCAACATTGTAATTTTCAGTACTATTACTATCGCTGCAAGATGGGTCTGTGAGTTCCCTTGGCTTAGCAATTGCCGGGTGCCGTGTGCCGTGCCGTAGGTCCGTGTCCTTCGACGGGGAGAAGGGCATTGATGCCGGTGGCCTGTTGAGGGATTGGCGGGGAAGCCCGAACTCCTACTGTGGATGGACGAAATCCATTTCGCACCACTTGGAAACCATGGTTGAAACCATTGTTTATTCGTATTTACAGATAATTCATCATTCCAGGGTTTTTTCGGTGGTGCAGGATTTCGTCCATCCACAGTACGACTTGTTTTTCTGTCGCGCGAGGATCAGACTGGGAACGGATGGCCGCATGCAACGGTGTTCCGTTTGGATTCCATTTAAGCCCACAAAAAGGGGGCACAAACTCCAAAGGATAGACCCAAATAAAGCAAAACATTTCTTTGGATGGGGCTGAAAGGAAGATAAGGAGGACATCAACTGCCTGCACGCCCCGGAATATGCGTAGAAATGCGGAACGATAAGACTTCATGCGCTTGGGTTCTCGGTTCAAATATAAGAAGTCCTGGGTTCTGGGAGAATAATCAGATGAGTTAGGGCTCTTGGAAAGCTCTTGCGACGGCCGCGAAGGAGTCTTGACCATGGCACATGTTACCTGAATAGCCAACGCAGTTCCGACAAGGTTTGCATTGGTACATTCCCTCAGACCAACATGCGGGAGGGTATCAACACATCTGCCACGTCATTCATTCCAGCTTCAGGTTTGACTCCATTGCCATGGCACTGGCCGGGGCCCCAGATCTAGGGCCAAGCATGCGCATAGCTGCGCGAAAACGAATCACGGGGCCCGGTGTTTCCCGACCTATGCGACACCCTTGATACGCAAACAGAAGCTTAAACAGCCTGTCTCACCGGAAGGATCTGAATGGCGCGATGGATTGGATTCGGACTCTGCTGGATAGGATTCGATTGGAGTGCATTGGATGGAATGGGCAGGATGGATGGAAGCATGCGAATTCACAGTGGCTTAGCGCGGAACATGGATTTTCGATTGGGTGTCCTCCGCAGGGTCTCCTCGACATTTTGTGTGATGACCTGTTTGGGATCCCGTGAAGGCCATGAAATGACAGGGCACCCTAAACGGTGATGGCTCTACCCTGCAAGGCAATTGTTGGGCTGTCCGCCCGTTTGGGTTGCTCCTTGCTTGTTCCCCACCTTTCCCGGGAGGAAAGTGACATCCTCAAATTTTCCCTCGCGGTGGTTCAAAGGCAACCCCCAAAGGTCACTCGGGGGTGTCGCTTTTTTAGGGGACCCCCACATGTTGTGTGATTTTCCTTTTGGCTTTCATTTAAAACCCACTCCCGTGTGACGAATCGGCCTGAAAGGGCAAAAGGATGACTTCCCCCAAAAAACAGACAGAGAGAGCGAGAGAGGGGGGAGGTTTCCATTTGGCTGTGGTTGTCAAAAGTTGCCCAAAATGGCTTGGCAACTGGAACCAAGGACATTCACACCACATCTTATAACCCGCCAAAACCCCACACCTGTCCAATTCCTGGTTTGATTTTGACCCGCCAAAACTGGGGTATCCCCCTAAAAAGAGGGCAGACCCACTCAAGCCCAGGTGGACGAGGCCTCCCCCTTGGCCGCAGAAGCCGACGGCCTGGCCCCGCGAGGCGCGTGTTTCACCGAGCACCATGTTTCTCAAACGGGTGGACCGAGCATCGGGAAGGCCCGTGGAGGGTTTTGTGGTTTCTTTTTTGGGGGGTTTTGGGGGGCTTTCCGCAAGGAAACCAGACTCGCGACTCGTTATTTTCTCGTTTTTTTTTCTTCATTATTTCTTCTTTTTCTTGGGCGCTTTCCGCAAGGAAACCACCTGGAGTCTCCATGCCCCTTTAAAAATAGCTGGATGACCCCTTTGTTTTGGGAAATGACCCCATTTTTATAGGGTCATGGGAACGGCGCAAGCACATGTCCAAAACCATGAAGACATCAGATGTCGCCTGGGATTTCCCCCGAATCAAGAGGTGAGCCTCATGCCGTCTCCAGGTCCTGACAGCGGCTATGGGCAGCAGGCGCGACAGCGCGAAGACCAGTTTTTCTGAATTGGCTGTGGGTCAAAACCGTTTTGGCACCATGCTGGGGTGGGTGCACCACTCATTTTAGAACCTATTTTAGTGGTTGGATTGGGATGTTTACTGGGGATAACCAGGGTTTTGACCCATGGCCAATTCTTCTTAATTCTTCTTCTTTGCAGCGTCAAAACAGTTTATCCTTTGTCCTCCCGGATGGTAGTGGTTTCTCTCGCTGTGTGCAGATTTCTGATTAGGGAGTTTGAAGAGCCCTGCTTCTTGTCGTGGGAGACAAGAGGCTCTCAGGGCAGAAGGTCGGGGTATGTCGGCTACGGCCCACGCTGATGTGTCATGTGAACGAAAATGCCCTCAAGTCGGGTTTCGGTAGGCTGGCGTTTTAGAGGTTCCGTTGGCTCCCGTGACTTGACGCCCTTTGATTTCCTTTTCCTGGTGGAACCGACAAAAGCAGGTTGAGCAACCCGACCTATCTGAGTTACCCTCCCTAGGAAATCCAGCCAGCCACATCAACCTGGCCGCCTTAAAGCAGCGAGCCCCACTGTCGCCCCTTGCCAACTCGCAGAGCCTGGGCCCCTTTTCACTTCAGGGACGCCAAGATACGTCCCCAAGTCTACGGCCAACAAGCCAACACAGGCTGAAGCGACCCACTCCCGGCTATCCTTTTTTAGGGAAACAACAGGGAACCCACAAATTTTCGGGGGTTCCCCAATTCTGAGATATGCTCACATTTTGGGTTTCCCTAGTTTTTTGGGGGTTTCCCCTATTCTGAGACGGACAGACATGGCCGTGGGTCAACAACAATGGGATCCCATTTGGGGTAGGTGAATTCACCACCCATTTTCAGAACCTAGTTTAGTGGTTGGATTGGGATGGGCACTGGGGATAACCGGGGTTTTGACCCAGACCCACATGTCTGATCTTGGCTGAGGAGCTGAGGGGCTTCGTGGCCCTGGGCCGGTTCCTGGCCACCGCGGTGCTGAGGCTGGACTTTAAGGCGTAGGTGGAATCCGTAGGAAGACTGGAAGCATCCCTTTTTGGATGGTAAAAGGGGAACCAACAAGAAGCCACTTTATTTTCATTTATGTTTTTGGGCGGGGGATTTTACATTGTTTATTTGGGGGAGGGGGGTGCAACGATGTTTTTCGGGCAAGAACCGATGGTTTTTTGTTGGTTTCAATGCCGAGAGATTGATTGCTGGGACCTTTCTGGTGGTTTCCCTGTTTCTGCTTGTTTTTCAAGTTGGTTGGGGACAGTCAAGAGGTGGCTCACCTTCTGATTTCCCTTGGCCCCCCATTTCACCAAACCTCCAGACTTTCCATCCAACCTTTCTGGGTGGTTCTCAGCAGGGAATCCATCTATGCTTTCGTAGGGATTCCAAACGGTTCGTTCCGCAGAATTTGGGGTGTTCGTGGCTGGGGGGAACTGGCGAACCCAGATTCATTCCCGTCCTTGACCTCTCGCAGCAGCAAGTCTTGGGGCGCACCTTGCCATGGGCAAGACTGGATATACCTTGAATCACGGACACCTGTAACAAAAACTGGCAAACCTGGCAGCTCGGTGTTAGTTTCCCTGAAGCCGAAAGTTCCCGGCCAGGGGCCACCCCTTGCCTTTGCAGCTCAGCACGGCTCCCAGCGAAGCAGCGCCGTTCATGGCTCGGGTTGGCACCGGGGGCAGTTCGGGTGGCCAAGAGCTTGCGATCGGTGCGATAGGTTGGGAAAGACGGAGTCCGGGTTTTGGGAATGAACCGCTGGGGCCGCTAGGGATTCCCTTTGAGGAAGCGAGTTTTTTTGTTTTTGTATTTTTTTTTGGGGGGGGTCATTCCAATTCTCATTCTCTGGTTGCAGGGGGTTTGGCGTTCACAGGAAAACGCTGGCTGCTTGTCTCACGTTGGATGCGTGCCAAGGCTCCCTGTGCTGCAAGCGGTTGCTGATGCCGCTGGGCTGCACTTGGGACGCGTCGCGCGGCGGGAGAGTCGCCTTTTGGAGGGCGGCGTTGAGATGGGAACCCCGGATTGACAGGTCCCGGTCTACTATTGGGCGGGTGTACGTCCCTGGAAAACCCCCAGCACCCCTATCAAGAGGATGGGAAAGTCTACTAATGGGGGGGGGGGGGTCCCTGGTTTAGTGCGCTAGATTCATCACGACTGTGGGAGGGGCGGGCCCCCACACCCCTATCAAGAGGATGGGCTTACTAATCCTGGGTCAACATGAAGCGCCAGGCATTTAAGCTTGGAGACGCCTGCAGAGCCTCATAGCTGTAGCAGCCAAGCAGCTGACTGTTGGTTGGATTTTCTGGCAAGTCCCATTGAATGTCAAGCAACCATTTTGCATGATCATTTTGTCACGATCGAGAGCGCAATCCATTCCCTTGCAATCTTCAGGGGGCGTCTTCAAAGGAGTTGCCGGATCCGGATCTGATGCCAGACATCGGAAGCATCGAACTTCCAGAGTTGGCTCGCCGGATTGGTGGGGGTTGGATTTGGATCTGGGTGCGTCCCTCAACTTTGCCTGCCATGTTTCTCGGTCCAGGGCCCCAGTGTCGCTGTCCGACCTCATGAAGACGGACCCGGACTTCTTTCGGCACCGCGCCAGGGGCGCCCAGAGATGATCCTCTATACCTCATGAAGGGGTTGCGCAGGGGTGTCTTCGCCTAGATGGTATGTGTGGCTCAAACTCAAAAAAGCTCGGGCAAACCGCAGCTTGGATTTAGTTGTTGGAGCAAAGGACTGGCAGGTTGTTTGGGCAGCTTTAAACCCCATTCAAAAGATATAAGTCATGTGTTGGGAGACTCTGAATTTGGTGTCTCTTTGAACAGGACACCAAAAGGCAAACCAACCACAGCCATGTGGTCAGATTTCCGTAGGTTGGAATGGGGGTCACCAACCCTTGGTTGCCCCTGGGACCACTTCCTGAGAAATCCGGAATTCGAAGATTTTGCAATGCGGGGGCGTGTGTGTGTGTGTGTGTGTGTGTGTGTGTGTGTGTGTGTGTGTGTGTGTGTGTGTGTGTGTGTGTGTGTTTTGTGGGACCTTTTTGGGGGATTTTGGGGCTAGCTCCTGTCGATTTGTATCAAGGCCTACTAGAAAAAAACAAGAACCTCAAAGGGTTAGGGTTAAGGCGGTTAAGGGATTCGAGTCTTTCTAGTAGCCCCTAGTGACTTTTATGGATGAATTTTGTCGCCAGGAATGATGCCGCGTTGATGTTTAAAGATATCCTCTCGCTCACTCGCCTTTGTGACATCGCCCTCCGATTCCGTTTGGGACTTCCACGGCATGCTCTGCATGCTGAGGGTCAAGACCATAGGTGGCCTTTTGATCGGTTCGTTTGGTTAACAAGGGATGGGTTCCACAGGTTTAGCTTTGGTTTTGTGAACGGTTTACCGGGGAAATCCATCTATTTTCCCAACAGGACGCCTATGCTCAAGACGAGTTTGGAATGCTGTCTCCCGAAGTGTGGGGAAGTTCTCATTCCTTCTTCAGTCTTTTTATCTCCAGGACGGCAGCCCATCTTTGATCTAAATGTTCGATCTTTACTCCTTTAGGCTTCACATTATGGCCGGAACTTTTGGATGGGATGACTTTGAGCTGGCCTCACATCCCAAACTCGCTGAGGCAGGGCGTTTGCGCTGAGACTTGTTCCTAAGCACCTAGCAAATTCAGTGGCGAAGCTCAAAGCTAGCTTCCGCTTTTCATCGAACCCAGTGGCCAAACCCAAAGCTAGCTTCCGCTTTTCACTTTTTCTGTTGTTTTCCCTTGGGGTCTCTGCCCCCTCCCCTTCCCACCCCCCCACCCCCCCACCAACCCCCCCCCCGACCCCCCCCACCACCCCCCCCACCCCCCCCACCCCCAACCCCTCCCCACGAGCCTCTTCGCGAAGCCCCGAGGTGCGGCCGCTGCAAGAGCCCGGCGGCCTCGAGAAGCTGGAGACCGCCCTGGGGGAGCCGGGCGCTCGGCTTGCTGCGGCGCGCGCCTGCGGCGCCTCGGGGTGTCGCTGGGGTTTTTGGTTTGGGATGTCCCGCCAAAAAGGGAACGCCACGCCTCACAAAGAGCGCCAAGCCTGGTTGTTGTTGGGAAACACGTCCTTTGCCCCATTTTTTGCTTGTTGTGGTTGAGTGGTTGGAATCCAAATCCACTTAGCTGCTGTAAAATTCATTCATTTTGGCTCCCCTTCCAACGTCAACCAAGTACACCCACCCCAGATGTACCTTGAATCGGACTGGCGCAAGCTCGCGCAAGGAAAACGACAGCTCAAAGGATCCGGAAAATAGATCGGAGCACATCCAGGTACACTTTGCTCCGAGCCATCCTGAGCCAGAATTGATGCAATCAGCCGCGGAACACACCGAACAGGCAGCGCCTGCTTCTAGCCGGAAATGCTGTCAGCAGCATCATGATGCTGTTGAACCGATTCGGATGTTGCTGCTTCTCTACCTGTCCCGCGTAATGGTTCGTGGCTGGTGTATCATCATGATGTTGTCAACCACGTTATGATGCTGCTGCAATCGCTGCGATGCCGCATTACACTGTCGCAAGATGATTCGTGGCTGTGGCGTCATTAGGATGCTGCCTTTGCCATCACCATGATGCTGTGAGCGTCACCATGATGCTGTCCGCATCATCGTGATGCTGTCGAACTCATCAGGACGCCGTCTCTGCCTTTTTTCGGCTAGATATGTAGCGCGGAATCGTTCGTGGCTGGTGTATCAGCATCATCCTGTCAACATCATCGTTTTGCGGATGGACTCATTAGGGCGTTGTTTGCGCGTCTATGTAGCGCACTATGCTGAGTAGCTGTGGTATTTTCATGATGCTGTCAACATCACCAAGATGCTGTCAACATCATCATCATCATGCCGCGGGAACCATTGTGATGCCGCGTCATGGTTCGTAGCCGTGGTGTGCTATCTGGGGTCTATGCTGGTGTAATTATTAAACAAAACAACAAGAAAAACATATGATGGTAGCACCACGAGTCAATGGGTTTTAGGCACTGCTCAATTGAGGCTATAGCATAGGTTCAGAAGGCTGAAGCCTGAGTCTTTTTATCGAGATTGCATGCGACCATGTTTCGACCAGCGATTGGACGAATCTGCGTCTTCCAAGCAGGGATCAGTGAGCATGAAGTTGAAGCTGATTGAGTTCACATCTACACTCTGGATTCAATCTTGGCCTCGACCCTAAACAACTAGCCCGTTCAGCGGGAGAAAGCTTCTTGCGCCCCAGCGCTGCCGACAGGGGAGCTTATTTTTATTGTTATTTTTATTTTATGTATACCGTATGTGGTTTAAACATCATCGTGGTCATTCTGAAGATCATGAGTGTCCGTTCCGTAGCATGTTTACAAGGTGAGGAGCTTCTCTTCGAGGTCTGTTCTTTCAAGGTGCAGCCAAGGAGCCTTTTGGCCGGATCTTTTTTCGGGGACATGGCTTGCTGGCTCTCAACCATCCCCCTTGGCCTTTTGGATTTCTTAGAGTTGAGTGGTTGGGTGTCCATTTAACCCACCAAGAGATAGTCACCAAAACCCGGGGATCTGACAACGGGCAGCCCGGACAGCCGGTGGTTTCGGCGGTGTGAGGCCGCTGACCTTCATGTCGGCGCCCGGGGGATCGGACCAGGTGAGGGCCAAGGCCTCAGATTCGCTACTCGCCTCGCAGGTGACTCGCCCAGTTGAGGCCGCCATGTGGGGCTCCATGCAAATTGGTGGAAGTGTGCTCGACCCCAAAGGGGCAGCTAGAAAGAATGTCATTCTATGTTTTTGGGAGGAAGGGGATCACTGACACGACCCAAGCATAATGAGCCCGGTTAGAAAAGTACCGGCGAAGTTGCGGGATCTTCTGACCCTTTTTGTTCCACTTCAGACCCTTTTTGAAGCACTTCAGACCCTTTTTAAAGCACCTCAGACCCTTGTTGTTGCACTCAGTATGTGGCATTGGTGCCTTCCAATTACCTGCCTCTCGTTCCCACATCCCTCGCAAACGCCCTGCAAGCAAATCCTACCAGTGACCGGGTGGTTTCTAAAACCTGGGACGATTCGGAGCTTTTTCTAAAGGGAACCCCTTGCAGTGCAAAAGGGAGTTCAAAGGGGAACCTCCCCTTGGAGTTTTGTTGCGAGACAGGGCCAGTTATCTTGCTGGTGCTCAGAACGTGGGAATGAACCAGTGATTCCCGAAAAAAGAAAACCAGAAGGGATGGTTAGTTCCAGGGGTTGACTCCCCATTCTTTTTAACCATCGTTCTTTTCAACAACCAGCCATTTTCCCTCGGTTTCAGGAGGTTTTTTAGAAAGATCCGGATCCCTGGAAAGAATGAAAATGAAAAGTGCCCTTAGATTAGTGGGAATCTAGTGCTTAAGATTTTGTCTTTTTAATTGGTTTCAAGGGAATCTTTCCAGTAGGACATACCCACAAGATGATTCCCTAGTATTCGAACGCAATCATCCCTAGATAATTCCCAGAAATGGTGATTCCCTCATTCCCTGCATCTCTCGCACCACCCAGTTCTTCCCTCAATCTCCTCAGGCGCTGCTGCCTATGGGTCACTTGCTCCGTGTCCATGAAGGCAACCGCCTGGGGTCTCGGACCGGGGTTTGGTCTGCGTGGGTTTGGGGCTTGGGGGTGGGCGGGTTTACGGGTGGGTGGGTGGGTGGGTGGGTGGGTGGGTGGGTGGGTGGGTGGGTGGGTGGGTGGGTGGGTGGGTGGGTGGGTGTCTGGCTTTTTCTACTTTTCCCATGGTCTATGGATAAACCCAGCGATGACTTTTAGAGCGCCTATGCCAAACTTGGGAATTCCTATGGAAATGAAGCCAGGAGAAGCGATGTGTTTGGTACTTTGCACCCCAGTGCAGCGCGTTTTAACGCGCCACTCGTGGCCGAGACAATCATTTGGAGGCCTTTGTGCAGAATTTTCGTGGGCACGATGCAGGAAGGATGTTTTAGCGGCCTTGCGCGTGTGAGCTCACAAGCAAAAGGTTGACAAGAACCAAACAAAGTGGGCCATCCTGGACCTCAGGGTGTTCAATAGCTGGCTATTGTAGAGACAGTTCCGCTAGATCACTCTTGTCCAAGCTTTCCCAGCCTTTTCCTGGCCTTTTCCCCCTCCCCCCCCAAAGATGCATCCCCCCACCCCCGGGACCCGTTTCCTTCCGTTTCCCCAACCCCCCTCCCCAAAGATGCACCCCCCCACCCCCGAAACCCCACACAACCCGCTTCCTTCCGCTCGCCGTGGCCTTGTCCGAGGCCCGGAGTACCTGCGGCTGCTGAGCCAGGAGCGCCTGGTGGGGGGCCGCCGCAAGAGCCTCGCGGCGCTGCAGCAGGCGGAAGAGCCGCGCGGAGGGGCGGAGGGGCGCGGCTTCTGGCGCGGAACGTGTGTCTTTTTTTGGGGGGAGGTTTTGGGTGGGTTCCATTTTTCTTCTTCTTTGGTTTTGAGGGGGTTCCAAAAACAAAGGAAGCTCCGGCGATGACTCAGCTTCCAGGATTTGAGGGTGCTACTTGTGGAATGCTTGATGTGGGCGATGGGGGGTTGCTTTGAAGCTTGATAGTCATGTTGGTAGAGTCAAACTTCAGGTTGTGCGTGCTCATTGGATTGAGCAGCCCTGGCCAAATGGCAGAATATTGATCACCCAAGAGGTGCGCATCGTGGATGGGATTCATAATATCATGCTGATTATTATTGGGTGCAACCATTTAGAGGCAATCCGGATCGCTCTTTGGGGAAACATCCCCCTGTGAATTCAGCGGCGATGTCAACACGGCTCACGGCAAGAGCGGATCTGTTTGTCCACAAGAGAAGCCCTGAATAATAAACAATTGGGCCCCTGAACAGGCTATCTCGGCCCACTCAACAGAGACAGGACGTTTGATCACCCCTGCATGTCGAGTGACGTGTGCAACCTGAAGGTGGGTCACGTGGCTTTATGTTTGTGAGCAAACGTGCAACTATGGCCGTCCCTTAGGCTGAAATCATTGGACAATCAGGGAATACAGGGCAAACAAGCAGCCAACAAAACGAAGAATCCATGAACTCGGTGTGGATTCTAGACCTGAAGGGGCAAGAAGTCGTCAGACATGGTGGTAATGTGCTTGGACATACCACGGTGAATGGGCTATAAGATATGACTTACTGAGTCCGTGCCTCACTTGAAGCTCCGTGCCGAATGCCGCAGGGCTTTTGGGATGTGCTACCCCTGCACCTCCTCCAGCCTGATTCCCAGGATTCGGCAGCTGAAATGTTTCCCAAGTTTCAGGTTTCTACGGATGCTCCCCATATAGCTCACGTAACAAACAACAACCACAAAGTCCATGATTGAATGGACGTTGGGTTTCCAACTTGTTCAATTTAAGTTGGGAAACCCCAACTTGTTCCCTACTTGCAATATGGCAGGGGGCATCCATCGTACTTGTTTCTGAGGGAATGGGAGTGAGGTCCGTGTAGCGTGTTGTCTCCATCTCGGAAACGTTTTGGGGCGATCTTCAGCACAAAGCCCCGGTCATTCCGAGCCATTCCCAAAACAGTGGCAGGCGATCTTGTAGATTCATTGGGAATAGATGAAGCAAAAATAGCCATGCAACAATTGTGGAATAGATTCATTGGAAAAATGGCCATGCATCGGGGAAAGGGGGAAGGCGAACGACGAAGCAAGAGAGATCTTGATTAATAGATGAGCGAGAGAGCGCAAGCAAGATCCTGTTCCTGCACTACAAGAGACACTAGTATGAGTGCGGGTCGGTAACACAGATGGCTCGAAGTCACGGTGCAGGGAATCCCGGCTCTATCCATTCTCGCTTTTCTTCAAGTCAAATCCACGATCAGCTCATGGCCGGGAGTTTTGCCTCAAAGGTACACTCGAGACTAACATGAAAGCTCCCAGACTTGGCCTCTGTAAATGGAACCAAGTCCATTTCGGGCTCCTTTCAGGAGCTTCCATAGAAACTTTTTTTTTGTTGGGGGGGGGTCGTCATTTCTCTGCGCGCCCATGAGAGACTCTAGACATCCCCCCATTTGAGAGAACCTTTTGCATCGTTCAAGGTTCCAGGCGCCCATGTTTCTGGATTTCCCCGAGCGTCTAATCTGCTTTTTTTTTTTTTAAATAGCGGGCTCACCTGGGTGTGTATATATATATATATATATATGGTCCCCAATGACTTTTTGAAAGAAAAAGGCGGGTCATGCAGGGGGAGGTGACCATATATATCTATATATATATAATCAGCTCACCATGATAAAGTATTGGTAACATTTGCAGAAAGCCATGCGACAACTGAACAACGGATCGATCCCAGCCGAAACGAATTGGTGTTCACCCCTGATTTTTGATGGTTCGCTAGATGAATCCGAAGTTAACATTGTAGCTGTGTCAAAGCTCAGCAACTTTTTGGCGGCTTGAACGGAGACCCCCCCAAGGAGGCCTGCCATTCCATTTTTGGGTCTCTTAATTATGGCCACCATGCGCTTGGAGTCTGAAGAGCAAGGTCTTTCTAAAGAAGGGTTCACCTTGATCCAGGGAGCCAGGAGAGCCAAAGCCCATGTGTGTGTGTGTGTTTTATTTTTGCACATACACATACCTATGAAGAAAGGTTTTATGTCTCTTGGCAAGCCTTCACTGTTCTTGGCAAGTTGTTTGTTTTGTTGTTGTTTGTTGGGTTCTCTTCATTTTTCGGTTCGGGGGCTGCAAAAGCAGTGAGTTGTTTTGCAAGCCCATACCAAGGCACAAACGGTATGGTTTCAACAGTGGTTGCGTTTCGTGGTGCGAGATTTGCGGATTTCGATTTCGCAACCATCCACAGTATTTCCAACCACCCAACCTACCACCAAAACCCATCTTTTCGCACATACACATGCCTATGAAGAAAGGTTTGACATGCCTTGGCAAGCGCTTTTCCCCTTTCTCGGCCCATTTTTTCCTGGCGCCGCGTTTCGACTCTGAGGCGGCAGCGCGTGCAGGGCTGGCAGCTCTCGCTGCTCATCTCCGGCTGCGCTGACCCGGACCCCGAGGCGGGCGAAAACGACGGGAAAAGTTGGTGGGGTGGTGGGGTGGGAGGTCCACCTGCGGGTATGTCTTTTGTAAGGTGACCCCCAAAATGGCATCTCTTTTGTTGGGCTTTCCTTTTGGTTTTGGTTGAAGAATCCACAAACAAAAAGCCCAAAATGGCATCGTTTGGGTTTCCTGCTGGTTTTGGTTGAAAAGAAGCAAGTACCCCCGCCACAGAACGACACTGTTCATATGGGTTCAGAATTTTCCTTGGCACCACTCTGCGAAGATTTCTACGCCCACCAGCCATGTTGGACGGATTTACCAACTACAACACATTGACATGTCCAAGTGGGTCGATATATGTCTGACATGGGTTCTGGCAAAGCTATCTTGTGCTATGTTGTAGGATGTGGGGGTTGACCAAAAGGTCCTTTATGGTCATTTGGGGGCCGAACAGAATATTGATCAACCCCCATGTGTGCTCTTACCTGCTCACTTTCCTTTTTGCCTGATACTTTGTGGCTATTTGGTAACGGATCTTTGGACTTTAAACTTTTTGCTTGAAACAGTTCGGCGTTTTCCGAATTGGACCCACAACGCGTGATTCACTTTTTGAAGAGGGGTGGTTCCAGCAACCCAAAGGGAAACCAAACAGAGAGTGTTCAAAAGCTCAAACGGCGCAAATCTGGGTGTTCCATGGCTCAGGAGTGGCGCCTTCACAGTAGCACCCGCGCTGCCAGAAGCCCAGACAGTTGTGTATTTCGCCGCGAGGTCAAAGCAGGTGTCGCTGGGTTTGCGAGGCATTTTTGCTTTTCGGGTTTCCACCAAAAGTGAAAATCGATCGATCGTTTCAGTGGAAACCACCACATTGATCAACTTTTGATTTGGGGTATCCTGAGGGTCAAAACCACTGGTACCATCTTCGGGTAGGTGCACCACCCATTTTAGAACCTATTTTAGTGGGGATTGGGATGTTTAGTGGGGGGCAACCGGGATTCTGAGCCATGGCCAGATGATGGCCACTTGCCTTTTTAAGCCTGAGGCGAATGCGCCGCAAAAGAAGGCCAGCGGGGTGCTTGGGGCAGCCCGTGTGTGGCGGGGCTGTGCTTGACCAATACCATGCTTCCATTTGGCTTGAACATCGATGGCGTTGGTTCTAATAATTTACCAGCGCCATATATATTTTTCCAAAAGGACGACATATGCTCCCTATGGTTTGTGTGTTTTTGGGTGTGTTTTAGAGGGTACCCGGTCTGGGTTGGCTTACTTCCATTTGGTTAAGAATGTTTTGTTTTTCTTCTTTTTTCCCCCTGTTGGTTTTAAAGGAAATCGTTTTCGCTACTGGAATTAGTTTTCCATTTTTTCCAGGGGCAAATGGAGGCATGTGACGTGGCGAGGCCAGGCGGTTGCTCCAGGGTCCCATGGCTTCCCATTTGGAATGTGGAAATCAGGACCTCCAACTGGCAATGGCGACACTTGAGTGTGTCATTTTTCAGAGGACTCCCCCCAAATCAAAGTAATATAAATAAAGCAAGATAATCAACACACGTGTTTGTGATATTGGTTTCCCTGGACGACCACCCAAAAAAGGTGTACCCTCGATCAAGACAGACCCACTGCTCTTCTTCCAGCACGCGGCAGGTGGTCGAGTGGCCGGAGCCCAAACCACATGGCACATGCAGTTCGTTCAGTCGATTCGTGTGAGGGAGACTTGGGTTTGTGGTCAAAACGGGTGTCTTTCTTTTGGCTTCATTTACAATCAACCTCAAAAACGGGGTAGCCTTGCAACAGCGCAAGCTGCTGTTGTTTTTTTTTCCCGGCTGGAACCTGGGGTTCATTGATACTTCACCTTGGCCTCGGCCATGGGACCTCGAGACTGGAATGGTCCCAGTACCAAAGCCCTGAACAAGCCAGGCTCTAGTGACACGGAGCTTGATGAGGGACAAATTTCTTCCCAAGCACTCGGAGACGGAGATTTGAAGAAGCGCTGTAAGAGTGTGGCCGTCCAGAAAAGCATCCGCTGGATAGCCTGACCACCAGCTAGACGTGCAAAAAATTTGACGCAGAGCCGCGCCTCTTGCAAGAGGTCAATAGGAGTCCATTTCGTCGCTTCTTGGGGACAGAAATGGATGGGTAACCCACTGGCTTAGACTCTAATTATGTCTCTTTTACCGGACGAAAACCTGCAGAGACCCATCGATTTCTGGCCCCCCAAAGGCCAAAGGGTCACCTATGTTCCAGACCGTCCGGAGTCCGAGACGGGGGTGACCCTCCAACTTTTTGTTGGACCGCATCCCGGCAGATGGGTTTCAGGTTTGTGAGGTTCGGCAAGAAGTTGCCTATGGTTTAGTCGGGGAAGAGCAAAAACACTCGCGAAATGTCCTGCACATCAGGGGACTCGCTCAGATCCATGGCTCGTTTGATTGAATTCAGAGTGGCTCGCGGCATCTGAGGTTCTGGGATGCTGTGCAGAGCGACCTCACAGCCAGAGCCCCAAGAAACAGCCGGGTCATATTCCTTGTTCAGACTGACAATCCCCCAGATTGAACCCGGAGCAGACCCTCCCCTGGCCATGTCTACCCCGGAGGTTTAGCTTGGCTTTATGGTGTGCCACCATCTATTTGTCCAAGTTGGGGACAGAAATAGATGGGCAAGCCACAGGCTTCGCAGGGTGTTCCTGGCATTTCTCATGGAAAGGACCCCCCCCCAATCCCGAATCCTTCAAACCCCTTGGCCAGACGGCTTTCCGAAGGCGGAGCAGCGGTGCCGGCTGCTGCGCTTCGCCACCGGCTCCAGCCGCCCGCCCCCAGGCAGCGAGTCGCTGTATTGGCGGCCGTGGGATGTTTCGACGGTTGGGACTTGGGTGTGGTTCCTTTGTTTGGTGCTATCACTGCCAGCCTCTGAGGGTTGCCTGCGCCCCAAAGCAACACCCCAACGCCCGAAACTAAAGACCTAAGCCGCCTGAAGCGTCACGACGTGCTCGAATTCGGCTCACAGACAAGCGCAGCTCGGCTCGTCGAAAGGCAGAGACGGCGGCTGCTTTTTGCGCTGTTCGGACAAAGCTCGCCGATACTTGTTGAGAGCTTCGAAGACATGCACTAGCAGCTGGCCTGCAGAGGGGCACGTGAGTGACCTAGATCCTAAACCTACACCCGAAACCTGAGCCCTATACCTCAGCCCTAAACCTGAACCCGAAACCTAAACCTAGACCGTAAACCTAAACCACCCAGACCCTAAACCTCAAACCCCTAAACCTAAGCAAACCTCAACCCTGAGCCTAAACCTAAACCCTAAACCCTAAACCTGAACCCCAAGCCTCAACCCCAATTCCATACCCGAATCCTTTACCCTAAAAATTGGGGGGTGCCGGCCACTTTGGGGGGCTGTGGGTATCATTATTTGGGGTTGGTTTGAAAGCCAACTATGTTGAATCCCCCCCATGTTTTTTCGAGAGCCCACTTGCAGTCTCGAAGAACTTTCCGGGCCACGTTTGAACAGTTCTGAAAAGGGGTTGCCCTGGGATCAGCTTACGGGAAGAACAGCTGTTACCTGTTTGCTTGGCCTGGTCCAACAGACAAGCTTGGGGTGAAATCACAGGGTGCAACCATGGCCCGCATGCGGGTTTCTGACAAACCCATGTTGACAAGCCCACGCGCCATGTTGACAGTCCTCCTAATTCCCGATTGCACACCATGGATGGTTCCGAAATCCGCAAATATCGCACCACGAAATGAACACATGGTTGAGAAGCCATAAGGTTTGTTGCGGTATTTACAGGAACATCCCGTTTCCCGTTGGGTTTCTTGGGCGGTGCAGAATGTCGTCCATCCCACAGTGCCAAAGGCATTGCCTTGGTTCAATTTGTTGAAATATGATGGAGTCCTGTGCCTTTCGGTGTTGGATGTCGAAGTTAGGGTCCCTCCCCTCCAATGTGTTTCTTTTGCGATCACTTTTGCACTATATTTTGCATGAACAGTTCACAATGGACCAGACTCACAGTGACTCACACATCGGATTTCTGGTTAGGGCAGCACCGCCTCCACTTGGGATTCAGTTTTTTCCGGCAGACAAATGGCTATGGGTCAAAACCAATGGGGTTCACCCGAGGATTACGATTCGGATTTTGACCCATGGCCAAACAGCCCCCTGCGGCGTCACAAAAAAAGTCGGTGGCGGCAGGCGGTTTCGCAGACCTGCGGCCGCCCTTCGCGGTGGAGGTGTGCCTCGGACAAAAGTTGAGAAGCCCACGAGCGCTCACGGGAGGAGAGGACTGGAAGGAGTGGGGTGGCCTTTGGGGGGCGACCTCTTTGGAAATTTCACGCCTGGATTCGTCATAGTGTTGCCTTTTTGAGAGGCTTAAATGATGGAATATGTGGTTCGGTTTCCTCGGTATGAACACATGTCTTGCAACTGACGTGGTGCAATGGTTGGGAGCCGCAATTCTGCGGTGGACCATGCTCAATTCGCGTGTTTACCATGCGTTAAGCCAGCAAACCCCTCACCCCCCCCTCCCCCCGAATAAGGGCTTCGCAGACCTCACGAGGACTTCTAAACGAGAGGGGGGCCCATTTTTGCCGCCGGAGGCCGCCAGAAGTGCCACTGCAAAACATCGGCCCTTTCTGTTTTTCTTTTTTTTTAGGAAGCCCAAAGAGAAACGTACCCAGCGCCAAACTGGGAACTGGGAGGGGTCCAGCCTGAGAAACACACCCATGTGCAAAAACGCCCAAAGGAAAGCTGCCAAGGGGGGGATGCGCGACTTCGCTCGTGCTGAGGACATCGCTCGGCTCAGAGCAGCACCTTCCCACGGCGCACACCTGCGGGGTGGCCAAAAGGGGGGCCAAAACAAAAGGGGGCCGGTGCTGTGGGGGGGGTGGAGGGGATGGTAGGTGGTAGTTGGGGGGGGGAGGGATGGTTTTGGTGCTACAGGGGGTTGGAGGGGATGGTAGGTGGTAGGTGGGGTGGGGGAGGGATGGTTTTGGTGCTACAGGGGTTTGGATAGGCAAGGAATGAGACATGGAATGACGCGGAGAAACAAGCATCGCCGATTTGGTTTCCTTTGAGGGAATCCCCAAACGGTTCATTCCCAACACCCAGAACGGTCATTCCATACTGAGCACCAGCAAGTATAGGTCGAAATCGTTCACCAAATGTGCTATGGTCAAAAGACTGGGGCCTCTACTTGGGGTTGACAGGGATGGTCATTTGGTAGTAAGGATCCTCAATAACCATCACAGTGATTCCAATCAAGGGAACCATGGCCATAGGTCATAGAAGGAGTTGTGACCATGCCGCAAATGGTGAGGAAGAGAAAGCGAGAGGAAGCCAGTGGCAAGATAGTTGCAAGGGTGGCCAGAGGCAAATTGTTTGTTTGCTCAAACTGGGACGTCTAATTGCCGCCCTGGGCGCGGACAATTTCGCATGCAAGTGCCTTCTGTTACCAGGAGACCACAAGGGGATTGGTATTTTTCATTTCTCCCCATGCCCCCCAAGGTCCAAGAGGAGGAGACATGAGACATATGCATTGATTCATAGACGACAGCCAAGGCATCAACAAGCTGGTGTTGCCCGGCGCTCAGCGTTAGAGGCCAGAGGATCCAGGCGCACTGGGAATCGGGAATGGGGATCCAGGCACGCCAGTGGGTTGCAAGGAATCTGGCTGTGGCTCAAATGGTACACAACATGCTACCTTTGCATCTGGAAGCAAAGACTAATACCTGCGGTTTGCCCCAGCTGGTTGATTTTGAGCCACATCTAAGTCATCTAAGTTCGATCCTCGGTCGTTCGCCATTCTTGGCCGAGGATCCGCTGAGTCTGGTTCGGTTTGGGTTCCTCGAACTTGTTCCAGAGGTTTGCTGGGTGTGGAACGAGCCTGTACACCAGGTTTCTCTTAAATCTGTCTCTTGTTAACCAACCAACAAGGGCCAGCCTCAAAACGGGAGCCACATCCGGATGGGCGTTTGAGTCGTTCTTGTTTGGGGGAAAACCGAGGCACTTTTACAGCTCCAAAACCCAGCTCCTGGAGAAACTCCTGACAGCGCTGGTGGACGAGTCGCCGGGACCCCGAGTCGAAGTTTGTGGCCCTCGTCTCGGCTCGAGTGAGCCGGGCGACAGCTGCGTTGAACTGAGCCGTGAGCAACCCCCCGAGGAGAAGGTTTGTGCTAGGTCCCCCTAGGTGCCCTTTCTCACCGTTTCTTTTTTGGTTGGGAGGGTTCTCGTACTAAAATAGACTAGAGAAAAAGTTGGTACTCGTACCCTTATTCTAACCTCTCTACTGGAGGACCTAATTAGTAGGGGCAAGTCCCAGACAGAATTAGTTGCGGCTTGGTTTGGGTACACCGCTTTAATTCCGATTGGTTTTGATTGTGACTCAACTGTGTACATGATCGTTTCGTGTATCCAGACCGGGAAACATGAGCAATGGTAACTTTGGTAGTCAGGGGGAACCCCCAAAGGTAGATCATGTCCCTAAAAGGGGAACCACCCTGCTCGCGGTGCTCCGGGTCAATCCGAAGTCAACACTATATTCCACAGGGCACCTGGCGGGTCTCAGGAAGTTGTGGGTGGTAAATTTAACTTCTTGTCACTTAGATGGTCAGCCAAGTTGGTAAGTGGGTAGCCACCTCACCTGGGACATAACCCTCCAACAACAAGGTCATAACTAGTCATAACCTAGGCTCCCAGCGACTTACTAATTTGACAACGAACAGTTGCATTGCGAATTGGGAGTGGAGAGGAATTCAAGATTTGTGCAGCAACGTTTTATGTTCGACATCATGGCCGGCATACACCAAATTGCTCACAGATCACAGAAGCAGCAGGATTGCTCGCCAACATCCAATGCCAAAGCGAGAAGGTCACAGACAGCGTTGTGGCCAGGTTCGGCACACCCTGAGCCGTGCGCAGACCCGTAGACCCTTTGCCTTGCAAAGTCACTTTCAAGTCGCGAAAAATCCGTGGAGATTCCGGCGGTCAGCGACAGTCATTAAATTGTTTGCTTCATTCTGCCGAGGTCCATTTGGGACCCCCAAAAAGGGCGAAACGAGGCAACAAAGGGCACCTTCAAAAGCAACACCCCCCCATGTTGTGACGCATCCGGCCAGGGGCATGTGCCACGTGAAGGCTTCAGTTTGGACGTTTGGACTTGGCACGGGAGCTGTGCATCGCTTTTCGGGGGAATTTCGGCTCCGAAGGTCATGGGCAACCTCATCCAGCAGCTGGCTCATCCCAAAAGGCATCCTTTCCCCTTGGCTTTGACCTTTGACAGCCGGTAAAACCGCTTGCCATGGCCATGTCGGTTCGCTCTCTCCGCGCGTTGGCGCTGGCCTTGCTGGTGGCGGCGGGGTTGATGTGTCGCAGCTTCCCCAGCTTCACCCCGCTGCACGCCACGCACCACCAGCCACACCACAGGGGCATGCGCCTGCGCCATGGCCAGCAATAACGGGCCACCGGAAGGCGTTTTCTTTGGCTCCCTCTTCTCGGTTCAGCCGTCCCGTTCAACTTAAGTTTAACGGTTTGCGGTTTATTCAGTAGTTTCCATTGAACCCACAAGTTGGTCACTTTTGGCAGGGGATCTGAATACAGACAGCCCGATTTGGTTTCTTTTGCCCGTTTTTCCCTTTTGGGGTGACTCGAAGCTAAATAGCCCACAGGCTTCCGTCGTTGTTCCCAGAAAATCCATGCCATTTTCTTTGTGGATTCCACGTTTTTTTTTGGAGCAGGAAGTCTGGCCAAGGTTCCTGGATACCGCGGATGTGGAGCAGTACAAGAACTTCCTGGGGCTGGGTGTCTTCCATGGTGTCACCACGAACCCCACGCAGCTCGAAAGCCGAACAAAAACCGACCCAAAGCCTTTGGTGTTGGTCCTATCTTTGTCCCCTCCCTTCCCCATGTTGGACTGCTGATTTGGGTTGCCAAAAGCGCGGTTTCGGCGCTTTCCTCCATGCTTTTCTTACATCTTGCCCCCCCCCCCCCACACCACCCCCCCCCCCAACACACACCCCCCCACCACCCCCCACCACCCCCCACCACCCCCCACCACCCCCCACCACCCCCCCCTCCACCCCCTGTGCTCACCCCCCCCCCACCCAATTCGACCGAGTCCGCCGAGGACTCTGCAAGATGCCAAGGAGCCCTGCACCGTGGAGAGTTTGGATCACATCCACCGCCTGGCCAAGAAGTACTGGAAGCGGCCCCCCCACTTCAACCGCCACGAGGAGTTCATGTGTCAAACCTGGGGAGGCCTTCCGGGAAAGGTTGGGTTGGGTCATTCCCCAAGCGCAATTTCCAGTGAAAAAAGGGAAAGAAGAAGTGAAGGGAGTCAAAGGTCACCAGAGTTCCTTCTTGTTTTTTTCTCCGGCGAATTGGACAACCAGCTGACTCCGTGATTTCGGGGAAGGCGATTCGACCGGTGAACAAGGTTCCTTTTGAAACCTGAATTTAGGCAACCCTCAATTGGTGGTTTGGATTTAGATTTGAACCGGTTCTTGCAGAGGGTAAATGGGACACCACCCACGGGGGAGGGGGGCGGATGAATTCCAGGGACTTCGAGCGATTCGGGGGAGCTTGGGGAGTGCATGGCCTTCTGGGCCTTGAAGCCCTCGTGTGTTTATGATTTTGATGTCTCACCCGGCATATGTGTGTCCTTTTTGGATTGGTTTTTATGCCCCAATTGCCAGAAAAACAAACAAACAAACATCTATTTGTGCAACAGGTCGCCAAAAATGTGTCACCAGGTACTTGGCAAGCTTGCCAAGCCTTACGCCTTGCCAAAAGTTTGCAGGCACTGAGGATGAGCTGTACAAGACCGGCGTGGCGCTGTCCAAGCTGGACCGCAGTCGCATGGTGGTGAAGGCGGGCAGACCGGGGTGCTGCTGAGTGGCCAGGAGGAAAGGGGATGACATGTCCAAATACCATAGGGACAGTTAAGTCCCCATGTGGCTGCGGCTCAAAAAACCGGAAAATTCCAAAATGGGTTGCCCTGGTAAGTGGAAATATTGCCCAAAACCTGCGGTTTGCCCCTCCGATGTTTAACTTTGAGCCACACCCATGTCAGTTTGGGAAATAGATGCGGACCCTGGCTCTGTACATGTTCTTAAGGGACCTGCTAAGAAGGAGCTTGAGTTCCTCGCATTGCTCGTCGTTTTGGTACCTGCTAGCCTCTCCTGAGGGCTCCCGGCTGGCTCGCTCGCCGCTTCAGCCATTTTGTAGGTGGATTCCGCGGACTTTTTTTTCGAGCCAACGGCGCTTCTCGCACTTCCATTTGCTTCAGAATATTTTTGTTTCTTTTCCCCTTTTGGTTTTAAAGGGAATCTATCACCACTGGACAGATTTTCATTTTTTCCAGGGGACCAAAACCGCACATGGAGGCCGCAGCCCCGCCGAGTGGCGACCCAGTCGTCGCTTTCGAACTCGCGCCAGGTGCCCGCCACGAAGAAGGGCATCAGCGTGGCGCGGCGCCTGCACCAGTCGGATGTCCGGGTGTGCCTCACCGGGTGCTACAGCGCCAAGCAGGCAAGAGAGAGCCGAAGCGAGAGCCGCGAGCGCCGAGAGCGGGGGGATGTAGTGTTGAGCCAGGTGGCCGTTACACCAACAAATGGAACCTCTCGAGTGGGTGTGTGTGTGTGATAAAATAGGAGGATTCGTTGGTGTGTTTGTTTGTACTCAAAATAGAGGTGTTTTTTTGGGGGGTGACATGACGGCTTTCTCTTTGCTTCAACACCACCCCAAACTTGGTAGAGGAGTTTGCCCGGGGGCTCCAACAGCTCTCAAGTCTTCGGAGCTCCCGGAACCCAACTGTTGGAACGGGAACCTGATGCAACTCCATCCAAGCCCCAGAGCTTCAGACTCCGCCGCACGGCCCGGAAGTTCGGAAGCTGCGGACCACGGATTGTGGCTTCTTCTATGGCGTCCCCGTATCTTTCGGGAGTTGGAAGGATCTCCGAATCTTTGCGTCTTTGGATCTCTGGATAGGATCCCTTGCCAAGATCTGTGACAGGATCCCCGAAAGGATCCCCGAGAGGATCCTCTACAAGTTCTGTCTTCAGGATATGGGGAGAGCACCTGCAAGCTGATCTATGGGTGGATCATGATAGGATCTCTCTGCAAGATCCGGGCACAGGATCCCTCGCAGGATCCTCCCCTACAAGCTCTCTGCTCAAGATCTGCAGGGAGCATCCTTTGCAAGATCTCTTGAAAGGAAATCTTTGCACCTGTGCAAGATTTCTTGCGAAGGACCATCTCTCCTCTTCTACAGAATCCATGAGAGGATGCTGTATCTCACGAAAGCCTTGAGGCTACCTTGAGGGGATCCGGGCGCGGGCGCAATGCATGAAACGAGAGCATCCTGTACAAGATCTCTCGCGCGGATCTTTGCAGGATAGGATCCTTTGATAGGATCTCTCAGCAAGATCTGCGCACAGATCTCAATTGCAGGGAGCATTCTCTACAAGATGTCTTCACACAAAGTCTGCGCAAGTGCTGTTGTGTGAACGATCAGCGAAAGATTTCTTTGAGAATATTTTGTGCAGGATCTCTGCGCAAGATCTCTTGATAGGATCTCTTGGCAAGATCTGTGTAAAGAGTCTTTGGATAGCCTTTCTTGATAGGATCCATCGACAAGATCTGTGTACAGGACCCACGAGACGATCTCTATACAATTACAAGTCCTCTGTCCAGGATCTGTAGAGAGCGTCCGACCTCGTGCGAGAAACCTTTGCAGGTCCTGCGCTTTCGATGTTTGTAATTTGCACCGCTCTCTGCGAGAGCGATCCGACCCACCTAAAGTCCGCAGAGAGTTTACCTTCGATGTTGAGGGTTCGCGCAGCGCAGCGCAGCAGCGAGGGCAGTTCAACGCGCTCCAAACCCACAGAAGGCTTACTTACCATGCTGGAAACTCACACCGCGCTGCAGCGGAGCAAGCCAACACGTCCAAACTTTGCAGGGTTCACTTTTGATGCTCAAAATGCCGCGCCAAAGTGACGCAAGACGCCCAAAGTTCGCAGAGGGTTCGTTTCGATGCCAAAACATAGGAGCGATCCGACCCACCCAAAGTCCGCCTTCACTTTCGATGTGTGACACGCGCGCAGAGCCACAGCGACCGAGATTCAACACACCCGAAGTCCGCAGAGGGTTACTTTCGATCTTAACTATTCGCAACTTCGCAACGCGCCACAATGAGCCAAAACACCCAAATCCAATTTCGGGAATTCGCGCGGCCCCACAGCGTCCTCGCGCCGTTTCGCTGGAGCCTGCGCGCTGAAGTCGAGCTTGCGCAGACGTGCGCCGGTGCCAGGATTGCCATACTATGGCCACTAGAATCCTTTAGTGTTGCTTGGGGAAACATGGACATGGCTGTGGGGATTGATCAAAGTGCGAGCGTGTCAGGTTGTCTTGGGCCTGTGCTCAAAATTGACTGATATGGCCAACATGCGTCGCTTGGTTGAGACGAGTGATCTGTGACACAAGCGGGATGGGAAGGCATCCTTTAACCGGACTGTGAAGGCATCCTTTAACCGGACTGTGTTCCATCCCCTACCATCCAAACCCAGAGCAACCCAACACCACAAATCCCAGCACACGCCGGGCAAATTACCATGGAACTAAAAAGGCGGCCCGTTCCCCAAAAAGATTCCTCAACCACTTTCTTTGCAGGGGGTACAAACCAAACTCGACCCATCAATCCTGGCACCAAGCCCAGACCACCAATCCTAGCGCAGCGAATGCCAGCAGATCTCCCCCCCTCCCCCAGGCTCCCAGGCTGCGTTTCTATTGCAGGCCCTACTGGCCGCGAGCCTCGGCGTGGAGTACGTGGCCCCATACCTGGGCCGCATGACCGACAAGGGCAAGGAGCGATGGGCGGCGGGGGTGGAGGCGACCGCCCCATGTGGCAGGTGGTTCTAGCTTGGTCCCACACCTCTTAGAGTTCCCAGGGTTTTGCAACGGCAACTCCTTGTTTGTCGTTTGTCTGTGGCTTTTCTGCGTTGCTGCTTGCTGAAACGTTGCAAGTCAATCAGCTCCACCGAGCAGGGTGAATCCTGAGAGAACTGTTTTTTGCTGCTTGCCTGCCTGCAATTGGCAATGCTTCTGCAGCTCGCTGGCAGGACGGATTGGAGGAGTGCATCAAGATGCAGGACCGATGGTTGCCCCACGGGCAAGCATAGCTCCTGAATAGTATCTTCCGAAAGCAACGAAGCAGGAACGCACCACTGCATGATTCCAGATACAATAGCGTTCCAGCAAGAGGAGGCGCACACTGTGCACATATGCAGCATATCATATGCATATGTGAATGTACATGTGCATGTGTAGGTGTATATGTGTATGTGTCTGCGTATGTATATGTATATGTATATGTATGTGTATGTGTACATGTACATGTACATGTACATATACATATATATATATATATATATGTATATGTACATATCCATATATATGTATATGTATATTTATATGTATATGTACATGTACACGTATGTATATGTATATGTGTGTAGGTGCATATACATATAATGTACAATGTACAAATGTGCAAGGTATAGTGCACAATGCACCATGCAAAATGTATAGTGTAACATGTATCGTGTAATATTTAGTGTGTAATGTGTAATACGTAATATGTAAGGCGGAATGCGACACATGCAATATGCAATTCGTAACTTGCAATCTACAACTGACAGTTTGCAATATGTACCATGCAATAGGTAGTAAGTTACATTTGTACATGTATGTGTATATATGAACATGTGCTGTGAATCAGCGTCAACCACAGATCAACTGGGTTCCCAAGGGCGGGCCTTTGGCCTGGATGTACCCTACCTCTAACCCACTGAGGGGACCAATGTTCATTGGGGATACTTTCAGCACTTGGGAAGGGGGTGATCCTATTCGGCATGTCAGAATAGGAGAACCTACCAATGGGTGGCATTCCTTTTGGTTTTCCTTTACCCTCCAAAAACCATTCCACATCTGGGTACCCTCACATCTCAGTCTTTTGCCTGGTGAGAATGGACCAAACCCCACCAAGTCCTGGGCGGTTTTTTTGTTTTTGCCCGGTGATGGCCTGCGGCATGGGATGAGGAGATCATGGAGAGCCTGGAGTGTGAGACGCGAGTTCTGGTGGCCTCTGTGCGGAATCCGGATGACATGGTGGAGCTGGCGCGCAGGGGCGTGAACACCTTCACCTTCTGCCCGGAGGTTGCGGAGCAGCTCTTCTCGGACCGATGCGGTTGGGGGTTGGGAGGGGAAGGGTTGGGGGGGGGGGGAGGGAAGGGGGGGGGGCAGGGGCAGGGCGCTCAGAAGTGAGGTTTGTCGTGTTGGGGTTGGAAGCACCATTTTTGAGCCACAGCCAGGGGCAGGTAGGTGTAGCATTGTTTTGCATGGTGGGGACAGAGAAGAAGTTCAATCAATTAACTAGTTGTGGTTATGGGCGGTTTTGCCAGTTTTAAGCGGTTTTACTCCAGGTGGGCTGATGTCCAAGGGGGATTGATTTTGTAAGAGCTGGGCATGTGCACTTCAATGGCAAAGATCTCAACACGGCTTCCTTCTCCTTCCTTGCTTGGGGCTTGGGGCAATAAGAAGAGTGAGCTCATCCATCATGATGATTCCTTCCTTCCTTCCTTCGTTCGTTCGTTCATTCATTCGTTCGTTCGTTCGTTCGTTCATTCCTTCCTTCATTCGTTTGTTCGTTCGTTCGTTCATTCATTCGTTCGTTCGTTCGTTCGTTCGCTCGTTCATTCATTCATTCATTCATTCATTCATTCATTCATTCATTCATTCATTCATTCATTCATTCATTCATTCATTCATTCATTCATTCATTCATTCATTCATTCATTCATTCATTCATTCATTCATCATCGTCGTCGTTGTCGTCATCGTCATCACAAGCACTGCGCATGGGAGGGTACCAGATATAAGCATCTTGCCATTCTCGTGTTCATGTTTCAAAACGGACAGTTGCTACTTTCGGCCATTCGCAAGACAATATGTGCTGAGAACAGTGGGGCAGCTGTTTGATGGAGCCGCACGCACGCCTGCAGGGTCCAGGTAGAATTTCATGGGTTGGTCCAAAATTGTACCAACCGCTCATCCAATTATCCAGAGCTACAGAAATACCGGTCTTGCAACAAATCACCCGGTGTCTCGGCCAGGATCCACTCACCGAGGATGCCGCCGCGGAGTTTGAAGCTGCAGTGAAGGAGAATCACTGAACTCGAGCGGTCAGTCTGTCAGAGTTCAGGTTCCAACGTTTCAATGGACCTGATGGGCTTGATGGCGATCTGCGTATCAGATTTTGTATCAAGTTGAGGGCTTGGCTGGAGGCAGAAACTGGAATCCAGCTGCCCCTGGCCGTGGTCTCACATGCCAGAGGGTTGGGGGCGCGCGGCGAACGCCAGCCCTATGTAGGAATGGAAGAGCAAATCAGACGTCTTGGTGTCAGAAAGTGTTATGCCCAAAAAGTGGCAGGCTCGCACTGCTGGTGTTGATTTTTTCTCCAGTTTTTCTCTGCCAGAGAGCTTTGCAAGCGCCGGAGTTTGGAGATCGGTCCTGAACCCATTGCAACTGCGGTCCTCGCAATTGTTGAATCGGTTGTTTAGGGTGACTTTGATGAAATGGGGCGGATGAAATCATGGGTCGCGTCTCCCGCGACTTCCCGGAAAATGTGTGGGCTGGGACCTGAGAATCGCGTGTCTGCGAGAGTCGTGTCGGCCCGGGGCCCGGGGGCCCGCTTGGCCGCCTTGATCGGCATGGCTGCCGACCGGCGGGGCAGCCCAGCTGCCGAACGCGTGGGCGTCCTGTAGAAAACGAGTAGCAGGCTAGCTGGCTGGTGGTAAGGGAGCCCTTAGAAAGCTGCCTGCAGCTTCAAACGACTAGAAAAAAGTAGGTGTTTTGGTCATTGTATTGCTTTTGCCTGTTTCGTATCGTTTTCACCGCAAAACGACTAAGACGCCTAGAAATTTGAATTATTGGGTGTTTCCTTCTTGCACAGGGCTTTCTCTCTCATTCAGCTTGATATTGCCCACTACACCAGATGTTCGAATCTTCAGAAACTTCTAAACACTTCGAATCCTTCCCTCCATCAACACCCTTCAATCCTAGCTGTGCGGGGGAGTGGTGCGCCAATCGGAGCAAGTTTAGTCTAAACATGCTTCGAGTGAGAAACGCACTTTGTTCGTACCGCTTTTGGGAGGAAAACAAGCGCAAAAACCCGCAAAACGCCCGCAAAAAACCCGCAAACAAGCGCAAATCCCAAAAAGTGGGTCAATTGGGGTTGTTTCATGCACTGCCCGCTCAAAAGCATGCCCTGATTGGGCACCGATGTAGGGTCATGCTTGCAACGGGAAATGCAAGCACCGAGAAAGGAAACTATATTGATATGAGGTCAGATCTTGTTGGTTCAAATATCCTCCCAAACGGCCAGCAGCACGTTAGACGCCGGCCTTCGTACTAGTTTTCCAGCGGTTCGTACTAGAACCCCCAGTTTTCCTCCAATCGTACCCATTACCCAAAACGCCCAGAAATTTCTGGGTGTTTGAATCTCCAGGTGGGGGGTATTTAACTTTGCTTCGAAAGAGGGAGCCTTTCGGAGCTACCAGCAGTTCGGTAATGACATGGTAGCAGGATTTCCCCCATTGGACGGTTTCGGGCATCACCAAAATGCCTTGGTAGTGATGTTCTGAGGCTCTAAGGGGTGTAGCGGATTAGGCCAGTGAGCATACGTGTCCTGTCCTTTTTGGTTTCTTTGCTTAGGAATAGATAGGTTCCACTGGTTTAGATTGGGTCTTGTTCCATTTCACCGGGGCAGGACACCTCTGAGCGAGTAGCGGTTACAAGCGTGACCTTTGTCAAGGCTTCACAGAGGTTCATAGGATGATTTGTTCTGTGGTAAAACACGCTGGTTGCTTGGGCTTGGTAATCACGGACTTGGGAATTTGGACAAGGATTCGTAGAGGGGCTTTGACCATGAGTTTGGATAACATTTGGATATGTGTCAAAATAGGGGGGCCTCAACATGCTGGTTTCCTTTTGGTTCCCCTTTGAAGCAACCTGAAAGGGGTGCCTCGATCCCATTTGCTGCTGCAGGGGTGGCGTGCTCGTCACCCTGGTGCGGGACCCCGGCCGGCGTTTGAACAGTTGCCAGGCGGTGAGGTTGCAGGCTTGGGATGCAAAAAGGGGTTTGCACGAAGGGACTCCTCCACAAATGGGTATGTCTTAAAATGGAGGAACCCCCAAATGGTTGGTTTCCTTCTTGGTTTCCTTCAGGACCTCTCTACAACGGGGTTGTCTGCTGAGACTTCTTTTTTCTCGCTTAGGTCACTGACAACGACCAGCCCTCCAAAAGCTTTGAGCTGCCCAGCGGCGAAGAGCGCGCCTGGGCTGAAGATGCGAAACTAAAGCTTTGGTTCATGTCAAAAAGTTCCACTTTTGCAGGGGTCAGAATTCTCTCAAGAAAAGTCTTGGTTGCATTTTGCCAAGGGATGTTAGGACTTTAATTTTTTGCCAACTAATGGGTTTTCCGCATTAAACCACCAAAAGTTAGTCACTTTTAGCAGTGGAGCAGAAAGCAACCGAGAGAACACGGGCGGGGTTTTCTGTGACCTCATGGCTATGGCTGGGACGTGGCTGTTTGGGGGGGGGGGGGTTTGAAGATGCGGTGGGCATTGGTTTTTCTGCGACTCGGTGGCTGGGACGTGGCTGTTTTCTGCTTTGGGGCGGAAATCATTTATGTGGAGCGTTCCTACGTTTGGGTAGTCTCCCGGTGCCCATAAGAACAGAGAGGGAACACCCTCACGGACATGGAGTGACACCCAATGTGTTGCTTCTGCAAAGAGAACGTGGCTTGTCGCGCAGAGGACTACTTGCCTCTTAGTTAGGGGCCTGTGCTCTTCCATCGGCGTATCATATTGGGGATCTAGCTCTCTTTCTGTTTGGGGAGGCTCATAGTTCCGATTCGCATAATTTATCAACCCTTCAGTTGCTCACCAGGCAATGCTCCTTGCACCTCTTTCTCCGAAGGTAGCACCATGTGCTGTTGTGTCCCAACTAGTCCAAAACAAGGCAGGAATCAGGGGAAGCAGGCCGAAGGGCTGCCTGCAACGAAGAAAATACGTTGAAGACAGGCATGTTTATCCCCTGCCCCTGAATGAGTACGCTGTTTAGCGTGTCTGAACAAATGTATCATCATATCAAAGACAGTCAGGCATGTTTGGCTACGTGAGTGTTGTGAGTCAAGTTACTCATCCAGCACACGGCTATTGCCGTTCTGAATACCCTTACAGACGAGAGCTTAGTGCCCCTGGAGCCGAAGTCTTGGCCCAGAGGGTCATTCCTGGAGATTCCAAAAACATGGCACATCGCGCCACTGGTGCGTTGTATGGCGGCAGGTCGCATTCGATTGGGCCGGGCGAAGGAGAATGACTTGGTCATTGAGCAAAAGGCGCGGGCACTCACAATCAAAGTCGTGATGACTAGACTGTACTTGGCTCGGTACCTCCGGCAAGATGCGTCAACACACCGCAGGTTTTGCGCGTCTTTTGACGTAAAACCGCAACAAAGCTCCTGGCCATGTTTTAGGAGGTCATTGCCACGGACGGCTTATGTGATACGGCGGTGATTTGTTATTCACCAATGACGCCACAGACATGACATGATCTCCGCAATAGTGGTTCTTAGTTTGTGTTGTCTGGGGAGGGCAAACACCATGCAAGACTCACAAAGTCTTCGAGCAAGTGCCTTTCGCCCACAATTTCCTGATGTTTCTGGCCCTGTACAGACTCCTGAGTCCATTTCTTTGGGCTGGGCTTCACCTTTTGATCTTCTCCCGGGTGCGGGCAGCGCGTCGAGGGTTGCACGTTGCCAGGGCACTTCCTGGTTTCACTGCGAGCTGCGGCTTCTGGAGCCGGAGCGGCGAGGCAGCCCGGGGCCCCGAAGCGCACTTGCTCGGCTTCAGAAGAGCTGGGCAAACTGGAGGGAGGACGCATCTCAGCTTGAAGTTTTTATTTTTTGTTCTTCCGCCTTGTTTTTTCGTTCCTCTGGTGGGTGTTTCTGTTTTGGACGAAGAAGTCGCAGATCAACCGCGGATGTTGGGGAAAGATACTGGACTTGGGCACATGGTCCATTTCGAGCCTCTTGCTTCTCGCTGCTTGGAAGATGCGCGCACGCGCTTGGCTGAGGTGGAGCCTTGGTGAAGCTCCGAGACACCTCCACCAATGGTGTGGGGATGAAGGCAGCTGCGGTCTTGACGCGGTGAGTTTTGAGGACAAGGTCTCGGAAATTCGTTGGAGGGTGGGGGGTTGTGTTATTCGGGGGTGGAGGGGCTCGCATGAGTCATGCGCCGACTTTTTTCGGCGGCTTTTGCTTGCCCTGAGTTGCGCAAATCGCCGCCAGGCTCCCGGAGCCTCCACGATCCGAATCACGAAGGGTGCGCTTGCTGCTTGCAGTTGGCTGGGGAGGGCAACTTGCAGCTTGGAAGGCTCTGCGCTGCTTTTGTCCGCACGTTTGCCGGAAACGCAAGCAAGGCTTGCAGATGTTTGCCGCGCGGCCCCTGCGCGATTCCACGCAATTCCACGGAGGATGAGGGACACCCTGACACCTCGCACGGCGCTCCGTGGCAGGTATTGATCACCCCGTGGTGGACGGGACAGTGATCATTGTGCCCTTCAAAGTCAAGGCAGGTCCCGGCGGCCAAATTAGCTGACCCCAAGGGATGTATTCCTGTGCCGAACCCCTGCCAAGCACACCTATCTTTTGTCTGACGAGCCTATGAGCAGGGGGCGGTTTTGTTTGAAGCAAGCGAGCAACTGGGCGCCAGCCTGAAAGCGCAGGGTTGAGGTCTGTGCCTAGCAAGCACGGTTATACCCACCAAAGCCATGGTTATAAGTAGGTTATAGCGGATTGTAATCACATACCTGAAGTTCCCTGCCACTTTAATGTGTACATTTATACTAAAATGGCTGTGGGTCAAAACCAATGGTACCATTTTGGGGAACCCCATTCTAGTCTATTGTAGTGGGAATTGGGGTGTTCACTGGGGGGTAACCGGGATTTTGACCCATGGCCATAGATGTATGTATATGTATTAATATATATAGGTATACGTATATTGAATATATATATATATACATATACACATATACATATATACATATATATATATATATATGTATATATATGTACACACACACACACACACACACACACACACACACACACACACACACACACACACACACACACACACACACACACACACACACACACACACACACACACACACACACACACACACACACACACACACACACACACACACACACACACACACACACACACACACACACACACACACACACACACACACACACACACACACACACACACACACACACACACACACACACACACACACACACACACACACACACACACACACACACACACACACACACACACACACACACACACACACACACACACACACACACACACACACACACACACACACACACACACACACACACACACACACACACACACACACACACACACACACACACACACACACACACACACACACACACACACACACACACACACACACAACACACACACACGCACACACACACACACACACACACACACACACACACACACACACACACACACACACACACACACACACACACACACACACACACACACACACACACACACACACACACACACACACACACACACACACACACACACACACACACACACACACACACACACACACACACACACACACACACACACACACACACACACACACACACACACACACACACACACACACACACACACACACACACACACACACACACACACACACACACACACACACACACACACACACACACACACACACACACACACACACACACACACACACACACACACACACACACACACACACACACACACACACACACACACACACACACACACACACACACACACACACACACACACACACACACACACACACACACACACACACACACACACACACACACACACACACACACACACACATCATTTTTGTTCTCGTGTCTCCCCCCTTCAGGCGGAGGATGGCAAGAGCCAAGAGGAGCTAAGATCCAGCGTGCCAGGGCCTTGATTTTGACCAAAGGGGCCAGCCACCCAATTCAGCCCAGCTCCCAGATGCAGCACCTCCCACCCTCCAACGAACATGGCAACTGACAGGCCCTTCAAAAGGAAAGTGACCTGGCCCTAGCTTGGCCTGGTTTTGAGTTGCTGCCCTTGGGCGGATTTGCTAATTGATTGCCCATGCCAGGTGAATCTTCCAGGTACCTCCCCACAGATGCCAGGTTTGGAGGAAGGGTAACACACACTTCCAGGTCCCGGACACCGAGCTCAACACATCACAGCTGTAAGCAGCCAATGCTGCAACCCTTAGTCAGTACCGGGACAAATCAGTACCAATCCCAAGCAATACTGGGCTGGACATCGCTAATTTAGTGCTGAACAACTTGGTTTCCACTGCTAGACAAATTATATATATATATATATTTACTTATTAACATGTACACTACATATGCTTGTGTGATTTCTGCGATTGAGCGGCCCTTGGAATTGGACGCATGGAAAGAGTTCTTAGGCCTGAGTGGGGAAGTCAAGAACAGTGTCTGAATGGCAGACGAACATCGTAGCCAGCCTTGTATTATCAGGAGGTCCTGATCATGGGCTTAAGGATGATGATACCAGCCCAGAAAGCATTGTCATTTCACATAGGTTCCGAGAGACTCTGGCAGTTTTGCGAGGGTGGTTGATGACCGGACAGCTAGAAATTAAGATGTTCTTTTCTCGCAGTTTGGATCGATCCAGAAGATCGAAGCCTCAGATATTCTCCAGAATGCTACACGAGAATCCGCATGGTGAGAGGCAGCGAGGGTCCGTGACGGCTCTGGATGCGGTGCAAAATACCTAAACATCTAGGGTCACGTTGCGAGCGACGCTGACTCACTGCATTTCCCATACACACACACACCAGGCATTTCTGTCACAGCCATTACGAGAACAGCATATCTTTTTGTCCCTGGCTGCACATGGCTGTGGCTCAAATAAATGTACCAAAATGGCACCTTGGTAAATGGAACCAAAGACTAAAACCGTTAGCCCTAGCTCTTGAATTTTGAGCCACAGCCACATGGGAACTGCTGGCTAACATGGGATCTGCTGGCTTGAATTGCTGTCGACGTGGGCCATTTCGCCTTCCGCGGCCCAGGAAGGTGTGCGTGTCCGGCTTCGGCTGGGAACTTGGAAAAATGGCATCACGCGAAGATAATTTGTTTTGTCCATGGTATGGGTGCTGGGTGGTTTCTGGTGAAACGTGCCTTGGTTAAAAAGCTGTTTGTTTTGCCAAGATGGTGCCATGGAGAGCCTCCCAAGATGGTTTTTTGTTCGATGTGCCTCTCTATTCCGACTCCGAACCAGGTCTTTAGGAACTCCATCTCCAATTGCTTTGTTTAGAGGATCAAACAAAAGGCGGGAGCGAAGCATGGGATCTTTAGTCGGTGCAGTCTTGGCCCGCCTTGAGCCCAGGAGCGTTGGGAGTGCGGCGGCCCAGAACCCTGAGATGTAGTATTCAAAGCTGAGACAGCCCTTTAAGGGAAGGCCACAAGTTTGGGGGACCCCTAAAAAGCACACAGCCCTCTGAGCAAGCCACGGTTTTGGCTCCAACCTCGGTAGGCAGCCGTTTTGTTTGGAGTCACTGGTGGTTTCCCCCTGCGTCTTGACAGGTCGTTTAGCTGTATTGGTTTTGCCTAGCAAGAATTGCAGGCACCGTTTCGTCCGCCCGGGTGGAAGGCGTTTTTTTCGGCGACACCGGACTAGTCAAACACCGGATCCTTAGGTGTTGATTCCTTTTAACTTCCCCAGAATTAGCTCCCTTTTTTGCTTTTTTGCTTTTTTGGGGGTCCCTTTGTTTTCCACTCACCAGGCCCAAAAATATATTTTTTGCTGGGGTCCTAATTCCAGCCTAGTTAAGGAGCCTTTTAAGGCGACGCTTAGGGCTTGATTCCTTTTCCATGTTCAACCGGATCCGCTTCCCTGGCATAAGATCCGGATTTTTCGGAGATTGGAACCGGAAGGTCGCGGGTAGCGGTTAGAGTTCGGTGCCAGAAATAGAACACGGTTTGGTTTTTTCAAAGAGAGCACGGGGTTTCCCTGCAACATGCCCCCGGAGTTGAAAATTGATCCAAGCAGCTTCTTCTTTTGGTTCGAGCGACATGTCTGTCGATCCGAGGCTGAGCCGAAGCCGAAGGCGGGCCTCGGCCTTTCGCGAGCTTCGCTGAGCGCTTTTTTAGCCCAAAAGGACTTGAAGCGCGGAAGTCCCACGCGCGGTTGTCCATCACCGTGTTTTTTTCTTTTTGCTCTCTTCGCTGCAGGCAATGTGGGGGGGCATAGGAGATGGTCCAAAAGAAACCATTGAACGATGATCCATCCTCTAGGCATGGCCTGAGAGAAACTTTCTGGCAGGCGCTTATTTCGCAAGGAGACTGAGCCTGGTATCCAGCACGGGCATTCCTCTTGACCGCCCTGCCTTTTCAAAAAGGTGCCGGCGCTCGAAGCGCCGCCGAAGCCACCGTTCAAACGGGCCCGTCAGCCTCTTGGAGTCCTAACCGGCCAGAAACGAAGAAGCCGCAGTGGGTATGGGTCAAAATTCAACCAGTTGGACCGCAGGTGAAATCGTCTATGTTTCCATTTACCGACCGGGCGCTTGCCAGTTTGGGGTTATCTTTGACCCACAGCCATGCAGGTGTAAAGTTCCCTTTCCTTTCTCTGGATGGGCTCTGGCTTGTTTCTCTGCCGCCGCGGAGCTCCGCTCGGACGGATTCGGCCGAGCATTCTGTGCTCCGTGCTTTGCCGTCCGCTTTGCAACAGGCTTTTGCAGCAGGTCCCATCTTTTTGCCATGCGAGACTGGGAAAGGCATGAGTGATTGGATGGTCACCTACCTTCTGTCCTTCCCTTCCTTTGCCACAATGAGACTCGCGCCTTTTGAAGCTCCAAAAGCGGCTTCGGCCCATCGAACGAGTCGAGACTTTGGTTGAGTGCCGAGGGACCGCGGAAACCCAAGCGCGCTTGACACGTCACATCGCTGCAGAAATCATGGGTGTGGTTTGAGGGTACCCTTAGGGTGGCTTTCAAGGGACAAAGCAACCCATCTCCAGAGGTTTGTCTCCAAACCTATGGCGGGTCCCATGCGAGCAACGGACGTTGTGAGGCCGCTCCGCTGGAGTCGCCGAAGGCGAGCGTTTGGGGAGAGTTTGCCGACATTTGGCGAAGGGAGGCCTAAGCGACAAGTCGGCACTCGACTCTGGGCCGGGGTACCCTTTTGGGGTTGGTTGTAAAAGGCAACTAAGAGGACAGGTACCCTTTTGGTTTGGTTGTAGATGGAAAAACGAGGACCATTCCTCCTTTTTGAGGGCCTAAGAACAGGTGAGCCAAAAGGAGTTGTTGGAGCAGCTCTTTAACTCAGGTCCGGTGTTCAAGACCGACCGCATGATAAGCTCTCGCGGAACCCTGCGAAACCTTACCTCAGAGATTTCCGCGCCCCGGAGCACCCCAGAGCCTATCTGGGCGACCCCAAAGCTTTCAGCTGTTGGGGAAAAAACCCAAACCAGCTTATCACTTACTATCTTGGCCGGCTGAAGCATCCTCCCCAAAGCGAATTTTATCACCCTCTCCCGTTGGTTGCCAGTTTATCTCCCTCCCTTTGAGCTGTTTGTTTTGTGCATTTTGTCAACCACTTCTAGTAGGGTCCCAAAAGGTGAACGCGCCGTGGCTCAGGTGGATCTGGAGCCACCGCCGCTGCCAAAGGCGCAGGCGCCGAACAAGCCCTGAGCCACAGGGTTTCCGAGCCATTTCCCTTTTTGGATACAAAAGTGTGGATCGTGAAAAAGGGAAGCCGCCAGTAATTTTTCCAACTTTCGAAAGGGAAATCCAGTGACCCCTGAACCATGTGGCCTTTTCATTTGGGCGCTTGTCAACTTGTCGCCTCTTTTTGCGTCCAATTGACACGAGCCATTTGGAGGTCTTGGGTTTCGTTGCATTCTCACGGCCCAGGGCAACTCGTTTCAGTGTTTAGGCTTAGGGACCCCCAAATGAAGGTTTTCGTTGGGGTCTCCCTTTAAAACCACCAAAAAGGGATATCATCAACAGCGTTTGGCGTGGCAAGACCGGGCGTTTATTTACTTTGCCGTCGATAATTCACCCTTCATTGGTGCGGTTGAGATGCCGGATCCGGAGCAGTGAGCAGTACCTATCAAGGAGCCCACTTTTGACCACGAGATGTTGATCATTCGCATGTGTTCATGCAGAAATCTGCGAAAGCCCATGTGTTTGGAGGCAGAAATCTTTGAACGCCCGTGTGTTTTTGGATGGGCTCAAAGGGAAAGCGCCCACCAAGCCGAGCATTTGGACAGCTTCTGCATCTGACCATCTGACCATCTGACCGCGTTTGTGGAGAATGCCAGGCGCCCACCATTCTCACGAGGACACCGGAGAAAGAGGCCGGTTTGTGGTTGGTTTACTTGCAACATGGCAGGGACCCGCCCAAACAAAAGTGGATTTCGGTTTTCCTTGTTTCCCTTTAACCCCACCCAGAGGCTCCAGACTTCCGATGGATTTCGGGCCTTCAAAGAACCTGGTTTTGAGACCCCCAACTACCTCCGGGTGTGTAATGGAGGGGTCGGGATCTTTCATTGAAAGCCCCAGGAGCCTCTGGGATGTCGCGATTTTGCGCTTCGTTTGGGGAGTCCGGCAGGTGTCAAGGCCGAGTTGACGCCCAGTTGACCTGACTTGTAGTATTGATCACTTGGAGCCAAACCATTTGGAGACAAACCAAGAAAGAGCCACCTGTTTGGAGAATTTCCCGCTCATTTGGAGCTGCGAGGTGCCGCCGCCCGTGCCGGAGGCCGTGGCTTTGCGTTCTTGTCATCACATGGGGCCCACCGGCCCGCAGATGATTTTAATATGGTGTTCTGGCCAGAACATACACTCAGTTCCCGAGCTCCGTTTTTTGGGACTTTAGTGGTGACTTTTTGGTCGGGCCACGCAGTCAGGAAGTGAGATACTTTACAAGTGTGTTGAGCAAACAAAAACGATTCTCTGCTAAATCCCCCGCAAAATATAATGGCACCGAAACAAACACCGTTTAGAGCTTTTCTGGGAATGTGTCAAAAGGAAGATGGCCCTTTGCTTTGTTTCAGGGGCTAATCAAAAGCTGACCACTTGTTTTGGGGTAACGAAGTTTGACACCTTTACTACTGGCTTTGGGTTGAAGAAAATATGGCAAATTTGCATTCCACAGCTTTGCAGACAAACCTCTCGCTGTTTGAATCCGCAGCGAAACTGACGGAGGACGGGAGTGAGTCGCATTCGTCCTTAGACAAGCCTCCAGCATTGCGACGTCCAACCTGTGTGGCGCTTGAGTCGCCTGCACTGATCCTTCGGGGCTGAACAAAGAGGATACAGGTTCCACTGAACGCATCACCTTGCCGCAGGCAGACAAAACATTTCAGCCCCCCTGGGCAAAGCCACTGGGATCCCATTTAGGGGTTCGTGCACCCAGTTTAGAACCAATTTTAGTGGGGATTGGGATGTTTACTGGGGGGTAACCAGGGATTTTGACCCACCTGGATCGCCAGTTGCTGTTTTTCTTTTTTCCATGCACTTTACCCCAAAAACCAGCAACAGTGACTGAAAAAAACAGCAACTTGGCTATCTGTGCATGGCCATTTCAGCTCCAACTTGCAAGCTCCACGATCCGTCGACGTCCACGGGGCCGAGCGGTTCGTTGCCGCAGGTGGGCAAGAAGTCGCAGGCCCTGCAGCCGAAGGCGCGGAGTCGAAGCTTCCTTCTTGGAGTTGGTTTCAGGGAAACCAAAGGGAAACTAAAAGGAAACCAAAGAAAACCAACTGAGCCACAATCAAAACCCGGGTAAATGAAGGTTGGTAAAGGATGATCCCAGCCACACTTGGCTGCAGCCGCCTTTGCAATTCTTTACGTGCTTCTGGGTCGACCATTTTTATACCAGGTTTTGATTGTGACTCAATAGGGACCGGTCCACCCAAAAATGAACATACCCGAAAGTAGATGGGCCCCCGCCCCCCATTTGCCCCAATTTTAGGGATCCCCCCAAATAAGGCACATACCCGGACGTAGATGGCGCCACCCCCCCCCCAAAGTTGGTTTCATCGTCCTTTTTATCACCGAAAAGCGAATGGTGCGTTGTATTTGCACCCAGTGAATACAACACGTCGAGGGTGTCCAAATTGAAAATTCACCACGCCTTCACTTCTTTTGGGAGTGCACCCTCAGTACTCCACGGGGCACTCATGCATCCATGAGGCAGCTGCATCCAAGCCAGCGGCAGCCCGCCCCAAGGCGCGCAGATCGGGTTTCTTTTGGAGCCTCTGAAAGTGGCAATGAGATGTCCAGTCAATTGTTAACTTCAGGGAAACCTAGTACCCGTGAATTGTCAGCTGCGTCCGTGCAATGCAGAGATGCAGAAGATTGTTCTTTCAGGGTGCTCTTGGGGCTTGGTTTCACTTGCTGGTCCAAGAGGCCAGAAAAACCATGCCATGCTACGCTTTCCTTTATTCGGGAACCCCCTTCCACCGGCTCATTCAACCGAAACCCAGACTAGCACTACGCCCGGAGCGACCGCAAGCTGACGCTTCGGACGGTTGCCTCGAGCCCCAGGCGTCACGGCCCACTTTCCCTAGAGAGGAGCCTCCCAAGGCCGGAGGGAAAAAGAGAGCCGAGAGAGTCACGAAGGAGTTCTGAGGCTTGGGGTTTCATGGCGAATGCCGAACGAAACTTGAAGGAGATTCAAAAGATCTGCAATTTTCACGTGGAAATCAATCACATCTACCTGAACTAGATGTTAGTTTTGTCGGTTTTCCTCAGAAGCAAAACTCGTCTCAGGAATTGGAACCCTGTTGGGAGGCATTTGGACTCAAGGCCTTGATAGCCCTGCTCTAAGTTAGGGCCAAGGGTCCTTGTCAGCGTCTCACACCAGGCGCCAAAGGGGATTCTAGGGAATCCCTCACGCTTTCCACGCTCCTGGGGTCATTGAACAATGAGTGTTTCTGGAGGTTAAAGGCAGAAACTGGAGTCATGCCCCTTTAAGCTTCCACTTGAATTCCGACTTGGACAAGGCTAGAATAGTGGGGCCAGCTTTTGCCCGGAAGTCCTCCTAGTTGGCAGCTGTCAGGCTGCGTCCGCCAAATCCCAGTCGCGGCCACCTGCCCGCGAGGTGCGTGACCCACTTTCGGAGGGGTAGATGAAGCGCAAGGGGCAATACATTTCGCGGCCGATCTCTGGACTCTGGACTCTGGTTTTGCAAGCTCTCCACCACCAGGGTTTTTTTTGCGACTCGATGGCATTAATTATCATGCCCCAGTGGCGCTTGTTTTTTTTCTTCTTCTTTTTGTTGGGAAGAGTCCTCCTTTGAAATCCAGCGACAGAAGAAGGAGGCTCTTGTTTGCTTTGGCCGCGGGACTGGGCTTCTGAGAAAGGAATTGCCTGGGCAAAGTATCAGCTCGCTGACTCGGATAAAGTTCCTTGCCCATTGCTCCGGTTTGTGTCTGGGCCATGGTTAAGGGGGCAAACACTAAGGACAGCTTTTTTGTTAATGTTGAAACGCATGTGGAAACATGAACTGTGTTTGAAATGCTTGACCATAATGGCCCCGGCCATTTTGGCTCAAGCTTGGATCTTGGGTTCTCTGAACCCAACTTTGTGAAGAAAAAAAATGAGGGGAATCACTTCCGAACCAACCCCGAACCAGCAATGGCCTCCTCGGCGACTTCGGCAACTTCCTTCGAGTTGATTGAGGACCAGGCACTCACCGCGGAGGAGGTGGAAATGGCCAGCCAGGAGGCCCAGGAAGTCCGCACACGCGAGGCGGCTGTGGCGGCCGGCCTGGTGTTGGACGAGCCCGAGGCGCCCCCGTCGGCATCGGCCACCGATGTGATGAACGACCTCTCCAGTGCACTGGAGCGGCTCCGTGTGGCCTTCTCCACACCGACTCCCGGTCTGGGTGCCCCTGGCCCCGCCGAGGACGAGGACAAGGAGATGGGCGAGGAGGTCACCACGGAGCGGACTACTCCACCAACGAAGAGGCTGAAGGGCTTCCGGTCTCCCTGGTGCCGGTGGATGGCCGTCCTGGCTATTTCAAGCTAGTGGACCTCCCAGACCTCTTCCCGGTCCTCCCGGCATCGGCGGCCACGTTGCTGAGGGACGTCGCGGTGGAGGAGGCGGTCTCCCTGTTCCACAAGTTTGTCGGTAAGAATCTCACGGAGGACTTGGTGGTTCGCATCCTGGAGGCCTACGTTCCGATGAAGATCCAGATCCGGCAGGAGGAGGTCTGGGCCTCACAGTTCCAGCGGAATAAGGCATGCCGGCCACTCGGACTACAAATTCATGTGTAAGGCATGCGGCACGGGGTGGCCGGAGGCAGCCAATCAATGCTGGGTCTGCCCGGGCAAGGAGTTTGTCCCCTTCCAGGCACCCTCTGCTACCTACGAGGCGGACGGCGTTACGTACAACCTGCTCATTGTGGAGGGCAAGCCGACCTGGATCCAGCAGCGGGATGGGGGAAGCCTGGGTGCCGCTGGCCCCGGTGGTACCCGGGCACAGGCAGACCGCAACCTGGTGGACGGCACGATCCTGGGGAGAGCCCCTCCGAAAACGGACCTGATGCGATGGGCTCCATTCAGGAGGCGCAGGAGGCGAACAAGCGCACCCAGGACACCAACCAGGCATGGATGCTTAACCACACCCTCCAGCCCTTGGAGGTGTCGGCATGGCCAGATGATCTCAGGCAGGCTCTGGAGAGGGGGCTGTTCTGCCCCCTGGAGCTGGATGACCCCGAGGACATCCCCAACGTGGGGGACATCAAGGAGAAGTACGTCCCCTACATCCGGAGGCTCAGAGAGGCACAGAACCCGTGGAACCAGGAGGCGTTGCTGGACTGGCGACACCGGCCCCCCCCAAGGGTGCCACTGGCCCTGGGGGGGACCAGCCAATGCCACCGCAGGACCTGGACTCGGAGGAGGGTAAGCTGTCCTTGCTCCTTTGGGCGATGAAGAGGCACCAAGGGGAGCTACGGATGTTTGGGGGGATCTGGAAGAAGCACTCCAGCGGCGAGATCCCCAAGGGCGCGGACCAGCAATTCAAGCTCTCGCCGGAGGAGCTCCTGGCTCTGGAGCGCAGGACCCACCCACTCACGTGTGAGCGGGACCACATCGACCCGATCATCTACTCGGCCCTGGAGATCCGAGCGCAGGTGAACTGGGGTGAGCGCCCGGCGCCGGAGCAGGTGGTGGGGATCTTCTGGGCTAAGGGCGATGGCGTGTTTTGGACAAGGCAGACTCGCACGTGGGACCTGCCGAGCTTGACGGGGGTGTACGCCCACCGATTCACCTTCAAGTACATCTACTCGGCTTGGACCACATTCCCGCTGGTCGTGAAGACGCAGCGACGGGGCCGCAATGCGGAGGGCTCGACTTCGGATAAGTGGATGGGGAACATCCTCCAGATGCGGAAGGAGGCGGTCCCCTTCCTGGAGAGCCTGGGAATCCCCAAGCCGCGCAGTAAGGCGGAATGGAGCTACATCTTTAAGGAGATGGGGACGTTTCTGGCCGCCAAGAACTTCATCGTCAATTGCCCATTGCCGGTGATGGAGCTCCCAGTGGCCCCCGTCCACGACAGCAAGGAGGCCCTGCGTTTCAGGGCGGTCTGTGACGAGCGCATCACTCTCCCGCTGTCATCGTTGAGGGCTTTTGACTCGGTGTACACCAAACTGGTGGCAGGCCTGAGTAAGTCCTCCATGGTGGAGATCAAGGTCAACTGGCGTTGCAACGTGGTCCATGACTGGGTGGAGCCGGTCCCGCAGGAGGCGGCGGGGGCCCTGTACGACCGTCGGCTACTCCCAGGACCTGATCAGGCAGCTGGGCTGCTCCCCCCCCTTGGGTGCCTCTGGTGTCGGGGGCGGGGCGGCCAAGGAATCGGACCCCAAGGCCAAGATTCTTGCGGGAGCGGACACCACGCTCCGCACGCCGGACCAGGGCACCAGACGGTACCCCCCGATCACCACGTCCACGGTCACGGCGGTCGCGGGCAAGAAGTACATCAACAAGCACTTCCCGAAGGAAACCAAGCACGTGTTCTGGGCCTCGGTGGAGTGCGGCCTGGTCCTGCCCAGCATCAGCGCATGGGAAGTGGTGGGCAAGGAGAAGTTCAAGACCACCGAGGGCTACATGTGCAGGTTCTGCAAGGGCTTCTGGAAGGCGAGCCGTGGGGGGACCCGGCTGCTCCAGATTACGGGGTGGCACAAGGACAAGGCCACCTGCCTGCAGCTGGTGATGGACGAGCCCCCGGAGCAGCTATATAATCAGTGGATCCGGGACAGGATGGAGTTCTACAAGCGGGTGGAGCCGACGGAGCCCCCCAGGGACGAGCGGCTAGTCCTTGGAGATGCGAGCACCCCGCGCATGCGCTTCAGCTCTTCGAACGGCCTGGGGGATGTCTCCACTGCCCTGTGGTCGGTCATCCTGAGCAACCCAGAGAAGTCGGGGCTGGCGGCCATCCACTCGGTGGCAAAGGAGGCGATCTTGAAGGGTGAGAGCCGCTGTCTCACTACCCTTTGGGATGTGGCGTAGTATGTTCTCTCCCCACCGGGACTTGGGTGCCTCTGGCCCCGTCTTGGGTGGGGGGAGGTGTTGGGGTGTTTCCCTTTTTTGGGGTTCTTTGTTCGCCTTGGTTTCCCCCCTGTTCAACACGCCACGACGGCCGGTTGCCTCGAACCGGAGGCTGCGCAATTTGGCTGCCCCAAGGACGGGCCGTATCGGCCACTGTTTGAAGAAAGTGGCTGCGGCCGACTCTGGGTTCCCTGAGGTCCCCTGGGGTTTTGGGGAATCCCCCGCTGGGTGGGTCTTCCCCCTCCGTGGTTCCTTTTGGGGATTTCCGGGTGGTTTGACTTTTGGGCCCTGTTGGGCTGCGTGTGGCCTGCCTGCCCCACTTGCATTCGGCATACTGTGGGGTTGGAACATTCGTGCAGTTTGCCGCGGTTGGGTCCCGGCCGTTCGATAGGAGGCTCGAATCCTTGTTTTCAGCATGGCTAGGATCTCTACACAATTTCTGTTGCGCCCGCCTTACACTCGTCTTTGGGACCGCATCCCAAGGGTCCTGTGGGACACGCTGGCGGATGAGTCTATCTCCCCGAGACAGACAGACGGGGAGCTGCTGGTCCTGATGTGCCTGCGCCATGGCACGGCGGAGGAAGGGAGGCAGCTGGGCGGGGAGCCGGCCCTCCGTTTCGCTCAGCTCCTGGAACTCTCGGGCATCCCGGTGGACCAGGCGGACCAAGTGGTACCAACGGACTACTTCAACGGCCTGGTGGCGTCGGCGGCGGGCAGGCTTCCCCAGCCTCTGTCTGCGGGGGACCTGGCCGACCTTTGGGATAGCCTCTGGCTCCTCCTCATGGCGGCTGCGGACGGCAAGCTCAGCGAAAACTTTTCCCCGCTGGAGAATGAGCTGGACCGCCAGGACCAACTGAGGTGGTTCTCGCGAGATGACCCACCCCCACTCCAACAGCCGAGCTTCTGAAGTGGCGGCACTGGAGGCCCGGGAAGATCAGGGAAATGGAACCCACGACTCAGCGAGCGCTGGAACTCCATATGCGCGGGAAATGGGCGGAACGGCTCCTTGCCCACTTCGCCCCCTTTGCGGAGCACATTGCATACATGCAGGACATCCTGGGGGAGGATTTCCGCAAGGAAGCACTGGACCTCTTGGGGGATAGCAGGTTCCGGACGCTCAGGCAACACTGCCTGGTCTACGAGAGTCTCCGCAAGAGAGGCTTCACCGTCATCCCATGGCAGGAACGACATGCAACCAGCTCGCCGATGAGGAGGTCACCCCGTCCAAGTTGCGGCAGGTGTGGAACACCCTCAAGTGGTTTTCCAAGACCTTCGGACTGCTGAAAATAGACGAGCTCCACCGCCTCAAGTCCAAGAAGAGCTCATTGGAAGAGGCGCTCACGGACACGGTCACCAGGCCACAGCGTAAGGCGGTGGTCCCTAGCAAGGAGGTCATTTGGGCTCTGGAGGAGGGGGCCGGCTACGATCGCCTGGGTGCCACCGGCCCCGGCACGCAGGAGGCCCCGGGCAAGAACAGACACGAGGTGCTGGACGCTTTCATCCTGGGGTTCGCCCGGTTCCAGGTGGGGTGCAGTGCTCGCTTCAATGACCT